CAACCCTTGCATAAGGCCCTTGTCGATCGAACCCCATACAGGGTTCAGCTGGAGGAGGAGCAAAGGCTTGCAGTATCGCGTGGGGCCCCATGCCATCCCAGTGAATATGTTGGCCGTCAGATTGTAGGGTTATCACGTGAGGCCTCATGCCATTCCGACGAGGCTGGTCGCCCGGTGAATGCACAGCCTCATCCAAACGAAGCAAAATCTCAAGGAAGTTCTTGCGGCCGATGTGGCCTTCCACCCCATCTTCTGCTCCAAACAGACAATGCTGGTAGTGAGAACAAAAACATGTACGTCTTCGCGTACTTGGCGATGCTTGTTGCCAAAGGCATATTTGAAACGGTTACACTTGGCTTTCTTATGGTTGGGCACACTCATGAAGACGTCGATGCCATGTTCAGTCACCTGGCAGAGTCCCTCCGGCGATCCAATGTCCTCACCCTCCCACAACTCTACGATGAATTCCAAAATTGCATCAAAGGCACTGTTGAAGCTGCACTTCTGACAGAGGTTCCAGACTTCCAGAAAAGAGATGGGTGCTGAATCCAAGGGATCCCAGCATGAGCATATCGGTGGATAATGTTGTGCATGGTTGGATGCGGAAGCAGAGTGCCACCATCACCTTGCCAGACCATGCAAGAGATGCAGCAAGAGCATTCATAACCCGGGTTCAAGGTGAGATTCATTAATATTCCTTTACTAAGTTTCTAATGTATTTTATTTCAAAGTGAACAATCCGAATCTGAATCAGAGGAGGCCTGATATAGTGTGTGAGGTAAAACAAAGATGATGTGACATATGCATTTACCAATCACACGTGCATAAATCTAATAATATGGCGTGTGGCCCATATTAATGGCACATAAACCCATATTGTGGGCTTACGTACTTTATGTACCATCATTCCCTTGCAGCGTGTGTGTTGGTTTCCTTTTATAACACAACGAACTCCATATTTTAGGGTGAAGAGCATTCTCATGGCAAGCACAAAATCTGTAAGTGAGGCAGAAAAGGAGACGGAGAAGGAGATAGGTGAAGATGTAGAATATATAAGTCTTCCAAACTCCCCATACTATACTCCAGGTGATCATTTTTCTGAACAAACGGCAATATTAACAACTATCGAGAATGCCCCAGTAACGTCAGAGACAACAATCCAAAGCAAAACAACTGACCCGGAGAAGGATGATAGTACCGCTGAGAGTACCAAAAAGGAGGTGTCCACTAGCGCTTAGGCTTATAATGGCGTGTGCCCTCATGCCATTTACTTGATCACCAAATACCTTTTTCCCTTTGCACTAGTATATCTTAATACCGGTATGAGAAATAGAATGGCATGTGCCCTCAGGCCTTTTACTAAATCACCTTTGAAAGAAATGCAAGCCTCTATGTCGTAAAAAAAAGGTACTAGAGAAATTCCTTAATAATATGAATGTTATTTAGTTTCATGAAAATACACTAAGGGTGGTCAAATGAGTTAAATGACTTCTCCAGACTAGCAATGCCTCTTGCTACACCTTCACAATTAGATTCGTTAGAAAAAGATAACATTGAATAATATCTAAATGTTCTAATCATTAAGTGATATGTCTGGCTAATAGGAATGATGTTCATCTTGGAAAGCTCACCACATGCTCAATGAACAAACAAATAGTGTGTGCGCGCATGCCATCGCTCTTCTTTAGCTTCAGATTCGGTTTGTTCACCTTGACAATGAGATTTATTATACAACCAGATGGACTCAGTCTGGACATAAAGTCACCGCGCTAGTCACCATGCCCCAGATATGTCTAGCCCCTGGACAAAAAACATATAATTTCACGTCATTTTCAAATACTTGAAAATTTGTACCTAATCCCATTTTACTGAATAAATCCCACTTTAACGAAATAGAGCTTAAAGGTTGAATCCTTGGGTCGCCAGTCCAATTCCGGCAGATTGAACTACAGTTTTTCAGGCCTCTCCAAGATTTTTGTGCCGCTTCTTACAAGCATGGATGGAGCATTCTAGTAGAGAAATTTTTGGAGTGATTTCTCTCTTGCGCCATTCCAGATTTTAGTCGAGCAATCAATATTTTGATAGAGCAATGTGATCCTGGGATAGGGTTTTGGCCTAATCCACCAACAATCTCACGTCAGGTCCAGCTGATCGACATCACAAGGTTCCCAGGCCTCAACACGCAAGGGTCCATTGGGAGTGAATCGTCCCCACGTCCATCCCCGATCATCTGAGGTCATCTATTGTCTCCAGGGACGCATCGACGCTGGGTTTGTGACGACTGCCAACAGGCTGTTCGAGAAGGTTTGATATCCCGGGGACTTGTTTATCTTTCCTCGAGGGCTGGTCCACTTCCAGCGGATGACCCGGTCAGCGCTCCCGCTATCGTCACTCTTGGGCCTGGTCGCACGGATGTGGCTAGGGCTTTTTTCCAGACTCAAGAATCTGATAATCTGAACGAAGTGATTGAAGCAGCTCTCCAAGTTGACGGAAGTGATTGATAAGCTTCGCACCAAGAGTATTTGTTAAAGGTAAGAATTAGATTTATATAAATTACGTTTTTTTAAACTAAATCTAAAAACCCTAAATGGATAAGAGCCCAGGGATGAATCTACCTCCCTCTGGGGATAGGTATTAACTGCCAACAACAAATTGATTGATTATATATATATATATATATATATATATATATATATATATATATATATATATATATATATATATATATATATATATATATATATATGTTTATCAAATTTTATCATTAGATAACTTTCTAGAGTAATTATGAAAGAAGCAAATTTGTTGTTTTAGGAATGCCATGACAGCAAGAGCACTTGATAAATAGATTAGTTAATCCATTTAATTCTGGAAGCAGGCTCTCAACTTTAATTATCTTATTTAAAAGTGACCCATGGATGATGAGTTGCTGACATTTCTAAAAGGGCACCTACGACCAGTAATAGTCTTTTGCCATCAACAAATTATCGACTGAAACATACTATTCGTTAGGGATATACTTGAGTTTTCATGTTTTGCACACTTCATTATGGAGGTCATAAGTTGTTGAAGTGTTGTCCTCGTCATTTGAGCGGATAGGAAGTCAAGAGAAGAAAATTCCAAATAAAATCCTTTATTATTTTCCTTTAATCTTGTTATTGTTTACAGCTAAATACTATAGCTATTGAATTGATGCAGTGGTTTTCAAGGAACAAGTTTTTAGATAGCAAATAGAGAAGTGTCATGGATAGTCTGATATAGCAACAAGCTAATAAAGTATTTCTAAATTTTGCTGAGGAGAGTAGGAATGTTTGGTTTAGTTTTTCCATTGATGGTATCAATCCTTATGGAAATCAGCACTAAGCACAATACATGGGTGGTGATGATTTAGATTCTTAATCTTCCACCATGGCTTACTACAATAATAATATTTATTAAAGAATGTTTTATATAAAACACTATTTAATATGATAAACATTATAATTCAAGTTTAAAACAACAAAAAATAATGAAGCTTGATATTTGTTTAACTCCACTTATGAAAAGTGTTGATTGTTGTAAATGTTCGTAGATATACTTATTGAGTAAATCTAGATACTTACCATAAATAATATATGAAACCAATATAGGATCAACACATAGGGTATGATAATGAGGGTTATGAAAAGGTATTTTGTATATCTTCTCAAACAAAATAGAAGAAGAAAACTTAGGTGAAATAAAGTTATGTTTAAGCTTAGGCATCTAAAAAAAAAAGACCCCACCTAGGGAACATCTGTTATTGACAAGCGAGAAGCAGTTAGGAATGATTACAAAATCATGTAGTATATAAATTTTTTCTCCTGCTTATAACTATTTATGTAAAGTAAAATTGAGAGAGTGATATATATATATATATCCTTACTTACGTTTTTAGGGTTCGAGGCTCAATGCTCTTATATTCTCTTCTCATTCTTTTTATCCTATTCTCTTATCTACATTCTTGTCTTTATTTGTTTGTCATTATTTTGCAAGCAGGGGTAAGAACACGAGTATAGGCAGAAAAAGCTTTATTCACTTTTAGGATAAGTTGTTACTTTTTGGTTTGACAAATAGTTGGGAGAAAATCACTTATGAATTCCAAATGTGTCTAATACTAGGAATTACAAGTAAATATCTTTAGTGATTGCAAAAGCCCTGAATTTAGACAACACTGGATGAAGGAGATTTTTTTGCGATTATAGTGGTTTAGTGCTTAGACAATGCAAGAAAAATAGTTTTTCAACCGTCACTTAAACTATAAAACATGGGATAAGTTTGAAATTGGAGCAATTTCATGAGAAAAATCCAAAAAAAAAAAAGGAATGGAATTTGTTTGATATAGAAAAGATAATTAACTACTCTAGAATTCTTTCTTTTTGAACAAATTCTCACTTGGGCTTTTAGAGGACACATTTTTTAATAATGTGTCACAATTTTTCTAGGCATATACAAGCATGAAAACTAAGCATTTATAACTCTTGTTTTTTACTACAACTTGAAAAAAGTTAAAGTCAAACCTTAGTGAAGAATAAATTAGAAAATTAAATCCACTAGCTTTTTTTGGCAGACTCACAAAAAACAGGAGGGTGGGGAGGATCTGATTGAGTGGGAGCAATAGTGCATAAAAGGGAGCAACAAAATCAAGGATTTCTTTTTAGAAATGGTCACCTTGACTGGCAATTTCTTAATGGTATTGTCCCTGTTTCATTTAAAGTGTTTTTAACACGGGGGTCAAAGACTCTATTTAGGGTTCTTCATTTGAGGAGATAGGGTGGCAATGGGATTCGGGCAATCTAAAATAACGAGTGGTGGAGGATCTGCACCAGGGATCCCTGACCATGGATCGGGAGGGCAAAGGAAGCTTCCGCTTATGATGGTCAGTGTTGTTATTTAGAGAGCGAGCTGATTGATGGCTCTCTTGTAGGTGAGCACTTACTATAACAACCATATTTCGGGGAATGGGCCGAATAGGGTTCTGATGGGCCCTTTCGAAACTGCTGTGGCTCGAAAGAATCCAGAAGGCGAGTTCAAGTATACCGTAAGCATTTCTTTCATTTTTTTCATCTCTTTGATTTTAGTAATTTTTTATTTCCAGTATGGTTTTGAACTCCTCCACCTTGAAGACGAAGGAGATTTTCTGGTTGCAGTGGTTAACACGGCACGCACAAAAAACTTGGGTAAGTTTGTGTTGTGATTCTTGTATCTTTGTTTCATCTCTGTTTGTCTCCCAGCGTCTTTGAACCTTTATCTCTGGAATGTTTCTTCGTTCGATAAGCACTGCGTGCGTATTCTTTCAAACGAAGACCGGCTAACTGAAGCGAGGATTCGGTACCTCATGGAACAGTATGCGTTGCTTTTCCTCCATTTAGACCGATTTGATGAGATTACTCGTTGCAGCGTCGACGAGCTAGTACCTCCAAGAATTGAGGAGGCACGCATCAAGGCACTGTCACGAAAGGAGAAAGCAAAAGAGGAAAAGGCAAAAGCGGCAAAAGAGGACCCATTTTACTCATCCTCCGATGAGGAGGAGGAGGAGGAGGAGGAGGATCGATATTGGAATGAGAACATCAAGGTTTGGTTGAGTTGGTTATATCACATTTGGGATTCCTTGCTGTGATTACAGCCAGAAGAGTGGCATGTTTGCAACAACACAACTCTCGTGGCCATCGCTGAGCAGCGGATATTTGTTGCTGGTCCAGGACGCTTCTCAGTTGTTATTGCTGGACCTGCTGGTGCTCGGGTAAAGCCTTACATTCTTACTTGAATCTCAGGGGATCACCCAAATCTTTTTGTAGGTGCTGTCTGAGGCGGACCCGGAAGCCTTGGATATCCAGATTTTTGAGTATGAGGTACATTTTGTCCTTGTCTTGTTTCTTAGACCAACTTTCTTTGCATGCAGCACCGGCTTGCACCCAACGAGTTTCTAGTCATGCTTCCTGAGACTTTGCATGTGTCAAAACTTGACACTGTGGCCTGGAACGAATGGGTTCAGGTTTGTCATGACTGAATACTTCTTGGCAGTGCTAATGACAGTTTGTCATTGCAGAGAGGATATTGGGAAGTGGCAGACAGATTGTGTGAAATGGATGACGCTAGTGAAAGCTCAGTTCTGGTGCTTCACAAGGAGGAATCTCGAGCTACCAACTCCAATAAGGTGATCAATGGGGAAGCATCATCGACGAGCCTTAGCAAGTTACAGAGCGGACATTGAAGTTGCGGGTATTGTAGACCGCGGTATATTCGTTTTTTGAGTACCGAGTATTCGATTTTATCTTTGAACAACTACGGTAGCTTCAAAGCCCTGACACGTCAGCATGTTTAAGACACGTCATCACGTTTAAGGCAACCCCACTCCTCGTCAACCTCCTGCTGGATGATCGCCTCCATCTCGGCATCGTAGGCGCATGAGATTGTGGTGGAGGGCGATGAGATGGTACCTAATTAATCCCCCAGCGCTCCCACTCGCGATCGGCAGTCTCCACACACCCGCCGTAAATCTCCGTCGTGTGCGGGTGCGAGCGACCGTGTTCTTGATGCAGATCACTCTTGCCGGGCTCTTTCTTGATCCCCCTGTCCGTCATGAGCTTCCTCACCCGCTTGGCCTCCTCCCACTCCCTGTGAGCTCCGGTTCCCAGCGGATCAAGCTTGTTTTTGATCTTCATGATGATCTCTTCCACGCGCTGCGTCCGCGGAGCATCGTTCTGAGACTTGCAGCAGCGCCAACCACGTTCACCTGGAGCGGCACCATCCACCCCAATGTCGTTCGCCCCCCTGTACTGATTGAGAGCCAGGTATCCCTTCGTCGTCGCCTTGTCCTCGATCGCGTCGTAGCACACCCGAGCAAGGATCATACTTCCAAACTTCTCCGCGAACATCCCAATCTTCTCCTGGACTAGCCTCTGCGGTTTCTTGGCTTCGTCCACTGTGATGTTCCTGGATTTCTGAGCGACGAGAACGTAAGTGTCCACGTCCGGCGGCGCTGCTTCCTTGGCCAGGCGCAAGAGCATCGTCGTCCAAGCCTTCATTCTCGAAAGCATTGGATGCTGCCAACTTTTGCGTACATTCTCATCACCGCAAACGTCAGGAACGAGGGGATTTTTCTCGCCTCCGGTGCAAGCTGCTGCCCAGGCATCCTTGTTGAGGAGTTTTAAGAACGCGTCGATCTTGGGAACATAAACCCTAAACCCTAGGCTATTCTTCCAGGCTTTAAGTTCAAAGTTTTACTTCCAAATAAGTGGCACTAGGGTCGGATTTTCTTTCGCTTGTGTGGATATAATACAGGTCTCGATTGGATCAAACTTCCTGAAAAACAAGAGAACAAGCTTAGGCTTTAAGAAGTTAAGCTATAGTCTTTACCATGATCGAGTAAATCTCTTCAAACTCTTTGGCACGAGCTATGGAATTCATCGATGGGAACGCCGCAGATGCTTACTCGCCGCCTTGCTTCTTCTCTTCTGCATGAAACAAAGCTCGCCAAAGTAGCAAAAGGAAAACAGGACGACTTACCTTCGCTCTTGCTGCTCTCCTCGTCGTCAGAGAGGACGGTCTTGTTCCTCTTCTTCTTCGCAAAAGGGAGTGGCTCGTAAAACAAGTTTGCTTGCCTCCTCCCCCTCCCCTCTGTGATGATATTACCTACATCAATTCCTTCGAGGTCCTTTTGCTTGTCTTTCTTTTTTCTCACGGCCTTGAGCTCTACAAACAAGGGACACAACTCAGATAAGAGACATGCGTAGTCTTGGATTTGATTTACCTTTCTCCGATGAGTTCCTGTTCAATCCCTCCTTTTGCAAAATGCTCTCGAGCTCTTTAATCAGCGAACTCTCCCGCTTTGACTCTGGCACTTGCTTCACCCGTTTGTAAACGGAAGGAGGGATACTGCGAAGAAAACAAAAAAAAATTATTACCCGTGTTGTTTGAGCAGCACAAACAAATGACTTACTTTATTCCAGAGGCCTTGATCATCTGCTTTAGTTGCTCCACGACCTTACTTACAACCGGTTTTGATTCCGGCGGTTTCGCAGCCTTCTTCTGCAATAGATGAATGATCACAGCTGAAGCGAGAGACGAGTAAAAATGTTAACTATACCTTTGGCGTCTTCTTCGCAGGACTCTCATCACTATCGGCATTGTATTCCTTTGTATCCTCGGCCTCGGTTTCCTCTGGTTTCTTTGCGTGTACTTCATCCTTGCTCGATTTTGGGTTGCTTGATTTTCGCTCATCCTCGTCCTCGTCCTCGGAATCCTTTACAATTGCTTTCTTCTTTCCTGACTTTCTTTTGCGGGGTTTATCCTCCTCTGAATCCTCCCTTTCAGATTCATCGGTTTCCTCCAGCTTTTTAACGAGTCTTTTCTTCTTTCTCGACTTTTCCGCGCTTTGTAGCTTTCTTTTCTTCTCTTCCTTAACTCCTGCGGCTGTCCCTGTCTCCGTCTCCAGCGCTTCCACTTCGGAAGCACTAGGCTCTTCTTCTTTAGTAACATCCGAAGTATTGAGAACCTTTTGGAAAAACACAAATTATCAAGCCACATTGAGAAAAGGGTCTTACAAACCTCGTCAAGGAGAGACTTTACGAGTTCCTTTTTTGTGTCAAGAGCAAAATTTTGTAGACCCAAATCTTCCTCCAAAAGACGTCTAACTCGTTCGAGCTTCATGTTCCTGCAAAGGAGTCACAAGAAGGATAAGAGCAAAGGAAGAAAACCACGCGAAATAAACGTACCGTGAGTCGGTTTTGAGATAAGAACTCCTTTTAGCGAGAGCATCTCTGATTACAGCTTCGGTGACTTCTGGATCATCAGCATTCATGATCTGGGATGAGCAAAAAAAAAGAATGACGATCCGTCGAAACAAAAAACGAAAATAAAACTTACGTGATCCACTAGCTCCTTGATCTTCTTCTTGTGAGGATCTAGCGCAGTGGTTTCCATGCCTAGATCCTCCTCCAGCAGGCGCCGGAAGCTAACCATCGTGAGCGACCTAGATCATCGCTAAACAAATGAAAAAGAGGGTTTCCACAGACAAGAGAAGCTTACTCGGCGTGCTCCTTGATGTAAGTCGCGCGGGCAGTGACCGCGCTCTCGACCCGCTGCGTTAGATCAAGCTCCAGCTCGCCATCCCTTTCTTTCTCGCTTTTCTCGGCCTCCATCGCCGCGGCCGCTGCTTCCGCCATGGCCGCCATAGCCATAGCTCCTGATTGACGGGCTTGACGGGCTTGACGGGCCCTCCTTCCATTTTTTCAAAAGTGGCGGGCTGGGTATATTTTATAGCGCACGGAATATCCAGCCTTCTTTAACAGTAGCCCAACTTGGACGAGGACGATGGCGCCACGTGTACCGTATGTGGCCCCCGGGCTCTCCCACATTGGTGCTAAGCGCGCTAGGGTTTTAGTTCTTCGTGGAGCGTTGGGGCGTAGCGGCGATGGCGATGCCGCGCGTGGTGACATGAGAGCTGCATCGGTGATTCCGGCTGTGTAAGTTGCGCTCCTTCTCTTCGGGCAATTGCCGAGGAATCGAGCTTCGTCCGGGCGCTGATCTTGCTGGATTGTGGCATCAGATTCTAAGGCTGGATTGATGGACACGGATACGTGCAGTGGAGGGACGAGTCCTAGCTTCGCATTTGCCTTCAATGACAGTAATTTCTCGGATCGGGTCCTCCACATTGAGATTGTCGCGGGGGCGTCTGGAGAGGCGAAGTCCTCCGGAGAGCCTTGCTCCACAGTCGGTGCTTGGGCACGGCAGAAGAAGCGTAGGCGTGGAGCCGATGCCAAGGATAAAGGTACTCTATTTTCTTGCCTTTTTTTCTGTCTTTCGTTTGGTGTTTGTTAGTTGTGGATTTCTCGTTGATGGTTGTTTTGTTCTTTGTCTTACATTGTTTTCTCTTCTTCTCTTCTACAGCATTCGAGAATGTTTGCGTGATGGTGGGTCTTGGTGGTGGTCAAGAGGAGCAAATTATGACCGGAACCCAACCAGAGCCAGACGACGCGGAAGAGGAAGGGGACGTCATGATCGAGGAGTCTCCTACGTCAATGGCTGGAAGTCCACCAGGTAAGTCTTGGTCCTTTGATCTTGACATGAACCAAGAAGCTATGGTTTCTTACAGCGGAAGACCAGGATCAGATGCAAAGCACCTCTTCCTGGAATTCAGAGAGTTCAACTGTGTTGCGGGTCAAAACGATTCATATCAGCTCGGCAATTCTCGCTGCTAAGAGTCGTTTTTTCTACAAAGTACGTTGTTGGGATTGCTGTTTTGAATCCTTTTCTCCTCTCTTGTTCTAAGTACCTTATGGCAGCTCTTTTCCAATGGTATGCGTGAGTCGGAGCAAAAGGCAGTTACTTTGCGCATTACCGATTCAGGTACATTGCTCGATGACCTGCGCACCACGGCGTTCTATAAGCTGGCCATTATATTGCAGAAGAGGTGCCAGTAATGGACATGTTGCAATTTATGTACACTGGCGGCTTGCAGGCAAACACAGCTCCGGCATTGCTCGACGTTTTGGTTGCGGCCGATAAGTTTGAAGTCGCAACGTGCATGCGGCACTGTAGCAGATTACTACGAGAGTTGCAAATGACTCCCGAATCGGCACTCGTGTACCTCGACTTGCCGTCATCCGTGCTTCTGCCTGATGCGGTTCAGTCACTCACAGACGCTGCGAAAGCATTCCTGGCAGATCGGTACAAAGACATTGGAAGGTTTGGAGTTCATCTTCGCTATGGTGTGACTATAAGTTACTACTGTTCGCAGGTTCCATGAGGACGTTATGCATTTACCGCTGGCCGGTTTGGAGGCCGTGCTATCCAGTGATGACCTCCAGGTTGCGTCCGAGGATGCAGTCTACGACTTTGTGCTAAAGTGGGCGAGAGCACACTACGCCAAGATAGAGGAAAGACGGGAGATCTTCCGGAGCAAACTCGTGTGGCTCATTCGCTTCCCAATGATGTCCAGCCGGAAGCTCCGAAAGGTTTTGGTTTGCAACGACATCGAGCACGACCTGGCGTCGAAGCTGGTGATGGAGGCGCTGTCTTTCAAGGCCGAGCCGCCTCACCGCCAGAAGCACATCATGGTGGAGGAGATCGTGCACAAGCGTTTCAGCGAGCGGGCTTACAAGTACAGGCCAGTCAAGGTGGTGGAGTTCGACGCACCGTATCAGCAGTGCCTGGTTTTTCTGGACCTCCGCAAGGAAGAGTGCCTGACGCTGTGGCCACAGGGACGAGTCTACTCTCAGGCATTTCATCTCGGGGGCCAGTGCTTCTTCCTCTCGGCACACTGCAGCGTGGATCAGCAAACCGCGGCTCACTGCTTTGGATTGTTCCTGGGGATGCAAGAGAAAGGCTCGGTGAGCTTTGCGGTGGAGTACGAGTTCGCGGCACGGTCCAAGCAGGAGGAGTGGAAGTTTGCTCCCAGAGTGAAGGGGAACTACGTCTTCACCGGAGGAAAGGCTGTAGGATACAGGAACCTCTTCTCGTGCCCGTGGCAAGAGCTCATGAAGGACGACAGCGATTACTTCCATCAAAACGTCCTCCACTTGAGAGCCGAGCTCACCATCAAGCCTCAGGGACAAGGTATGTAGCGAGTGATTGATTGATTGATAGAGCTACAAACCATAGAGAAAAATTTTCGCTCTTCTTTTTCCTTCTTGACAGGAAAGATCGATACTATAGCTACGAAGAGCTTGACTTGAGAGGAGAAACTCTTCTGTGAAGTGTCTGTTATAAAGATAAAAGGCAAAACAATGAAAGGAAACTTTAATGGATTCTAGGGTTTATGGCAGTGAGTGGATGGATACGGAAGGTGATCGTTCCGGCGGTGGAGAGGAAGGATCTGGGAGTAACAGATTGGAAGAAAAGGGGGATTTGGATTCCATGGCTTTGAATTCTAGGGTTTACAGCGATCCCAATGTGGAGATCAGCTCAATACAGAGAAAGGAGGGAGATTTTGATCACGAAGGCGCTACTGCGTTGGAATCAGGAGGAGCTGGGGACGATGGATCTTCCGCTGGTGTTTTCGCGCGAGGGGAGAGCAGTGGAACTAGTCCGGTTGAGATTATCGGCAGGGGGCGAGCGGCGGTGCTCAAGAGCGTGATCCACGACGCTGATTCCAAATTCGAGGCGGCATTGGCGAGCCAGGACTCGCTGGCGCTCAGCATCGATCGCCTCACTCGAGGTGTGCCCTTCGATCAACTTTACCTTTGAAAAGAGGTGATGCATTGCAATTCCTTTTCGTCTCTTCTTTCTCATCGCTCTAGCTTTTTTCTTGTTGCCTGTCTCTTTTCGTTTGCATTGCTTTTGTAGTCTCTCGAGTCACAAAGTCCTTTTAACTGTTGTTTTCCTTTTTCTAGTGCTCGACAAGTTGCTAGAAGATACACCGATGCCTTTTCTCGCTCAAGACTCGGCACGAGTACACGGCCTTCGGAAGAGAGTTTTGTCACTCTCGTCCACCTTGCAGATCATCCGGGTCCGGATGAAGAACATTGAGAGCGCACTCCTCCACCAATGTAAGTTCTTTCACAGATTTCTTCTGCACTGGATCTTACATGTTTTGGGCGCTCATTTGCATTGCAGCATCCAGAAGCACTTCTCCAACCGCTGCCAAGAACTCTCCATTAATTTCCCCAAGGATCCACTCAAACTCGCCGCCCAAAGTCGCTCAAAGAACCTCGCCAAGAAGAACGCAAAGCTCATCTTCTCCAATTCCTCATTACCATTTAATTTGAATTTAATTCTTAAGCCTTAGATTTATATTTCTTGGACAATCAAGAATGTCTGCGTTAGAATATAGAAAATATTAATTAGCCCAAAAACTTTAGATTATATATAAAAGTAGGTGAAATCACTTATTTCAAATAGAAACTTTAAACCCTAGTAAGGCTAGATGCAAAAATTTCCAAATGGCTACCAAAATCCAATTACACTCATATTATATAGCATTATAGCCATACACTTGGATTTCACATTATCCCCTCCTTTCAAAATAATGATCATCAATATTTTCTTGTAGATGAGCTAAAATTTGGAGGAGGCATTAGTGGATTTATAGGTGGTATTAATTGTTCCTAATCCCTTTATATAAAGCATTTTAACCGTTACACATATACAATTTATGGAGGATTACTTTATTGAACATTATGTTAAACCTCATAAACTTGCGATTCAACTTGCCATAACATTTGATATAGTCCTTTCCACTGAATAAAGAGCCCTTTAGATAAACCACATATTGTAAGATAAGGAAAATAAATTAATATTAAGTCATCCACTTTATACTCTATAAGTGAACAATGATGAGAGTTGTAGTGCTATTGTCCCACTTGTATATAGCCTAAGTGTTCGGTAGATTTTGCTCGGACAAATGGAAGAGTAATCCTATGACTTAGAAATAGCAACTCATAACAATTGTGAAGGTAAACCCAACTCTGATGGTAGTATTGGATAATGGCCATATAAAAGTTTATATAGTGAAGCATACACCCCTATAACATATACATACTAAACAATGGTAAATAACCATCTCAATCCAAATACTGAAAGTTTATATACTTTGTGATTATCCCTTTGAATGTTTGAACGAGCCATTCCACTAAACTGTCTAACTGTGGATGATAAGCACTTGTGAAAGTGTGGCATATCCCCAACCAAGACGTCAAAACATGAAATGCCTTAGTCATAAATGCAAGACCATTATTTGAAAGAATTCACTTCGGACAAAAATGTTAAAACGTCACTCAATTAAGGAGGAAATATCCAACAATAATTGTAAATGTGCTAACAAAAGCACCAATTTCCACCCAATAAGTCAAATAGTCAGAAGCAATAATAACATACTCATTGCATAATTGATCGTGGAAAAAGTCTCTTAAGATCAAATGCTACCAACTTAGATGAATGGGAAATTACAATTGACTCTAACCATTTTTTTGCAGCACAAGGGAGAATATCACAAGCTTCGCATTAAACGTAATTATGCATATATTGGATAACATCAAGTTGCATTTCTGGCCAATAGAAAAATCTATACAATTTCTTAGTCACACAACAATGTCCCATATATCCTCTTAGAACAGAAGAATTATGGTAAGTATGGAAAAACTGTGGAATAAAGATTGAAGGCACCACTAGCAGTAAATGATCATTAAGATCCATCTCCACAAACTAAATAAAGCAGTATTCAAAATGATATTGAGAATGTAAATGCCAGAATGGCAAGTCATCAGCAAGTGATGCAGGATTCTTAAACCCATTTAAAAGTCTTTGAATCCACGGCTCAATTTTTTTAGCCTTGCGAACCTTATCAAGAGAAAGTAAATCTTGCTCTGCACCTTGTGGACAGTAAATGTCAAGTATAACAATGGCCGATAGCACAAAATCCTTCTCTAAAAAATCTATAAATGTTAAAATAACATGCATTAATAAAATTCTTCAGGTGATGAACAACATCAAAATCATATATCTGAAGCTTCAAAGCCTATCGAATAGTACGATCAACTAAGTTTTTGCACTTCAATAATGAAGTAACGGCAGCATGATCATTTTTTAATAACATCCGAGAACCATGTAGATATACATGAAGTTTATTGAAACGCTAAACTGCAACTAAATACTCATTTTTTGTCATGGAGTAATTCACCTCCGTTAGTTGTTATATGATTTATATATGCAATGGGATGGCACTGACCAAGCACAGTCATGCTCTTGCATCAACACACCTCTAAAATCAATATCAGATGTTTACAATGATAGTATATCTAAATTTCATCCCATGATTACATACGCTACAGTCAAAGAAGAAAGAGGTTATTACTCTACCATGAAAATGAATGAAATAAAAAAAGAGAAAAAAAAAAAAGTTAAAGAAAGTATAAGAAAAAGGAAATCTAAACAATGCAAAAGCTAGATCTAAACCAAAATCCTAAATCCCAACACACTTAAAAGACAATTGAAATTGCCTCTCATTTCCACCCATGTGAGTGTATGGAATATAGAAATGAAATACAAAAATGTGCATATCAATTAACCCAAAAACTTTAGCTTATATATAAGAGTGAGTGGTCTTGATTGAAATCAATCGGACGGGTATCAAAATCCCATTACATTAATATTCGTATACAGCATTATAACCATACATTTGGACCTCACAACCAGATTTAATCTTAAGTAGCTAGTCTAAATATTATACAAATATAGATATATATGTATTTATAGATTTATACCATCCACCTCTCCAAATGATGAGAAAACTTGATGAAGGTAAACCCTCGCTATGAGTCGCTGGAGGATGCTTACAAGCCCGAGGAAGAGCAGGCAGGACGTGGACGATATACAAATGAAGCGCAATATGAACAAGGCTGTCTACTCAAGGAGAAGGCCTCGCAAAGTTGCGACTAAGACCGAGTGTTATGAGGCCGACGAGCACGCTTCAGGTGGCCACAGGAGAAGTACACAGCTGGCACAGGGTTCGCGTGGTTAGTCTCTCCAACAGCAGGCCAGAGAAATTTCTTTCCACTCGCAAAATTTGATTTTGCGCATTGCCATCATCCAAGAGGTGAGCCCCCTTGCTCTCTGTGTGTTTTCCAACCTCTCTTTGTAGGCCAGGGTGGAGAACGGTTTGGCAAGCTTCTGCATATGGTACGGTATTTGCTCAGTAAGATCTTCGACTTTTCTCTCTAGCCAGGATGCCGCAAGATACACATTGTCATCATGTCTGGAAAGGTTGTTCGTTTGGTACATGTTTCCAGTACATCAGTGCCGTAAGTCGCGATCCCGAACAGTTTGTTTATCTTTTTCCCTTCTCATGCACAATGTTCCAGAGACGTAAAGGCTGCAGTTGATACTGTGATCAACAGAAACAAGTAAAAGCTTAACTATGCTGCCTTTAGTTTTCGCTTTAATAGTCTCCCTTCTGCAGCGGCATTGGATTCCACAGCGGCAGCCGTGCTGAGTACTGATCAGAGAGATGCTGCTGCCATATGGCATTAGCTGCCTTCAGATGGTGAAAAGGAAAAAGGTAATTACTTGTTGGCTTTAAATAAACTGTTTTTGCTGACAACCCTAAGGGCAGGGTATGGGAAAGCAAGAGTCAACGTTCAAGATTAAGTATACACACATCTTTTGTAGGATGTTTCCAGAGCGCGTTTGGGATGTTTTACAGGAGAAGCTAAATGCTTCAGATCTTATCGGCTTCTGCTTGGCGTTGGACTGTGAGTATGATAGAGTGGTACGCGCTTGTCTTAGAGAAGGATTCCCCAATAGGGCAGCCTCCATGCTTTTGGAGCCTAAACTTTATAGATGCAAGGAGGAAACATATGCAGAGTTCATTCAGAGCCCAATGATGTGGATGGCCATGGTTGAGTTTATACAGGTGTTCAGACTAATGAAGGATCTGGGCTACAGGCGCACCAAGGAGATGTTTGAGAAGCTCATCATAGAATTTGATGTGCTCCTCCCGGCAGAGGATGAAAGATATACCAAGAGAGTCAGGAGGGGTGATATGAGTGATGGCTTGAATCGCTTGGGACTGTATAGGATGGCTGGTCGCAAAGGGGAATACATAGCAGAGCTTGCTGATGAGATGGTGAAAGAAGGATATGTCCCAAGCCCCAGAATTGAGAGCATTGTTGACAAGCGCCATCAAAGCTGCCCGTATCTTAACGATCTCCACTTGTTGAGAGAGTTCTCCAGATTGGAGAAAGAGGAGCGGTATTTGCTGACATTCATGGCGCTGGCAGGGGGAGCGAGAAGTGGGTTGCTGCGGATCACGTCGTATGTTGAGCAAAACAATTGCAACGAGGACACCGTCAAGGCCATGCTCGCTGTCGTCGACGCACACCTCATGTCGACGTCCTCAACCGGCGAGTCGTTGGTCTTGTATCTCAAGATGAAGGCCGACTACAATCGCTACCTCGTCGATTTGAAGACCGGCCAACAACGCGAGGAGGCCGAACAAGCCACCCTCATGGCCTTCAAGATCGCCCAGGTATTTTTTTTTATTTTATGGTTTTCATAGCTCTTTTTCTTTTGGTTTTGACAACATCTGGTTTTGAATGTGTCAGGAGCATGCTTTTGCGGAGCTTCCTCCGACGCACTCCTTCCGACTGGGACTCGCGCTGAACTTGTCGGCGTTTTGCTTCGAGCATCTCAACTCTCTGGATCGGGCTTGTTTTGTGGCACAGCAGGTATGCAAGCGTACGTTGTTTCTTGCGCTAATCCTGCTGCATTGTTTTTTCAGGCTATTGATGAGGCACAGGCCAAAGTGGAGGCGTCGGGGAAGGAGCCCCGGAGGGAAACCAGCCGGATCATGGAGCTCCTCCGGCAAAACCTCGCGGTTTGGACGAGAATGAGTATTGAATCATCCCTCTAAGTTGTGAATTCTAAGACCTGTGCCTAGGTTTGCCGACAATTGCCTAGTGTTGCAACTCGGATGATTCCAAGGGAAACTCAGCAGTGATAGAACTCGGTTTGACATTGAAACTCAGTTTCAGGCTTGGTATTGGAGAGAATTCATATATATAGTTTCCTGCCGTACGCAAGACGAGCCACCAGGAACAGAACGTCCCCGGCTCGAATCCAAGCCCTGAATGGACAGAAGAAGGGATTCACGCACATTGTTTTCTCAAGGATATGTATTCTAGCCTGATAAGTTCTTCCCAAAGCTTGTAAATGCGCATCGTGTAGCGTCATTATTTTTGAGCTTATCTCATTGCCGATTGTTCGTGCGTTAGTAGAGAAGATCTTTTGAATAGAATTATTGTCTCATGGCCTTAGTGTGATACACTTGTCCCTTTGAAACAATCTCACAATCTAAAATGAGCACTTTGTTTAGGCAAAAGTTTATATAGGAAGATTAAAGGGTGTGTTAATGACGATAATCAAGTGATTTAAATTTCAAGTAATGACGATAATATAGACAAAATATTATACTATGTTATACGAAGGTAATCACTCCAAATATTATACTGTATATTATAACGAAAGTTCAGGTAAACTTTACATTTTGATAAAATTTACTTATGCCGAGTGAAAACACTAAACCCTGAACACTAAGTGTTTTGGCGCAGAAATATCATTGAGGAATGGCGAGGTTGAAAAGAGCAGATTTGCGTGAGGCCGTGATGCAAATCGAGCAGCAGCGATGCGATCCGGATGGAGATCTCTGCGCGTTTCTCTTGCGGCAGTGCGGATCCAAGGCGCTGCTCGAGGGGCGGCGAATCCATTCCGTGCTCGCCGATCATGGCATGGATTCACAGGCCCTGTTGGGCAATCTCCTCGTTCACATGTACACCAAATGCGAGAGGTTTCAGGAAGCTGGAGCGATGCAATGTCTTCTCGTGGAATAACATGATCGTCGCCCGCCGGCATGGTGGATTCGGCGAGAGATCGAGAGCACGCCACAGAGATCTGCGGTCAACGATGATCCAAGCGTATACTTGAAACGGGCATATGGATTGCTGCCTCTGGCTTTTAGACAGGATTGCCACGCGATCTCGACCACGCCATCGATTTCTTCCTCACAGGGATCACATGAACGTCCTGATAAACGCTTTTGTGCGGAGCGGGCAAGAGGATCGCGCGGGACTTGTGTTTGAGAGGATGGCACAGCAAAGCGTTCTCTCCTGGAACATTGCTATCCAAGGCTATGCTCTAAAGGGCATCTGGAAGAGGTCAAAACGCTGTCCGATCGAATGCCCGAAGAAGACGTTGTGGCTGGAAACGGGAGGATCGGCACATATGCCCAGCATGGGCATCTAGGTGAAGCGATTGCGGTGTTTGATCCCATGGAGCAGTGCAATGTTATCACTTCCACTTCGATGATGGTGGCGTTAATTCACGGTGGCGAGCACGATCGAGCTCGGTGGTTCTTCGATTCCCTGGCAGAGAAGAGCGTCGTGACTTGGAACTCTATGATCCACGCTGATGTCCAAGCCGGGCATATGGACCACGCGAGCAAACTCTTTCACGAGATACCCGTGCTCTCTTGCAACGCCGGCTATGACCTTTCGTGCGACGCCAAGAGCGCCCTCCAGATCTTCGAGAGAATGCCGCAGCGAGGAACTTCGTCTGGCAACGCAATGTTTCGAGCATTCGCCCAGAACGGTGCTCGAGAGATCTTCCACTCGTTCATGCGACACCGCGACGTCGTCTCCTGGAACATCGCGATTGCGTCTTATGCCCAGAGCAGCGACAATCGCCCTTTTCGGCAAGATCCTGTCCAGGAGCGTTGTCACCTGGAAAGGCTGGCGAAATGCACAGGTAAGATGCTTTCTTCCTTGTGTTCGTTTCTAGATTTCTATGGATGAGAACATGAAATTGTAATGGGGTCTTGATCCAAGCACCGGAGATTTTCAGCGGGTATGGCTTGCTGGACGTTGTGTTCTCAAGCTTTTCTATGATTATTGTCAGCGAGGTAACGTTTGCTCTTCCCGGAACTCTCCGTTGCTAATGCTTGCTGCTTTAGGCCTGATGCGTGCTCCTCTGGTAGATTGGAGACGAGACTTTCATCATCGCAGCTCTAATGGCGATGAGGCATCCGCGAGCCATAGTTCTTTCTGGAGCTCTCACCGTGCTTGCTCTCATGACTGTAAGTTCTCGTAAGCTTTCTTTCCTGTTTACTCAGGTGCTTTTATTCTTTTGCTAACAGGTTTTCTGCACCGTTCTTGGAAGAATCTTATCTCACGAAGGCACATCAATAGTTTTGCCACTGGTATGGATTTCTCTTCGTTCCTTTCTTTTCCTCAGTTTTTCCTTGTTGCAGTGTTGTATACTTTCTTTGGATTGCGGCTATTGTATATAGCGTGGAAGTCGGGCTATATACAAGCTTTCCTTTTTCGTTCCCGCAGGTCGAGGAGAAACTGGAAGGCAGCACGCATGGAAAGTCAAGAATCCGAAAATTTTTCTGCGCTCCAATCTTTTTGGAGGTATACTCATTTCCAAGGTTTCATTTTCTGGCTGATCAAAATCAAGCCTTCACCTTTTTGGCGGAATGGGAGATAGAAGCCGGATCGCAACGATTGCCAGTAAGTTTACATTTTTTTGCTTGATCCAACTTAGAAATTTCTTCCTTAGATTTCTAGCTTGCTGCTCACAAAAACGCTGTGGGATTTACGCTGGGAGCAATCGTTGGACACACCTTGTGTAATTCTGGCCATGAGAATATCACAGAGAACCGATTGTTTCTACCGTTAATTGACCAACGCACACTTTGACGGCCACGATTCTTTTACGTGTACTATCGTTTTCCCGCCCAGTCCAGGGTATTTGAGCTAGCTAGGGTTTTTCTGGATGAGTGCGCGATGGAATCGCCACGGATGGATCCGGCTGCCGGGGATGTCGAAGAGATTATCAACGCATTGGATCCGAATTCGTCGGTGGAGCTGGACCTCGCGTGGCTACGCGGCGTCCTGGAGAATGTGAGTGTTTCTTGGTATAGGCGATTCTTTTTCACAGTAGCTGTGGCCGCTCTTCAGGTCCAAATCCATAGCTTCCAGCGGCGGCACTGTGGGCGTTTGGAGGAATTGCTGACGCGGCTCCAATCTATTCAGCGTCCTGAAATTCTCGTGACTGAGGAGTTTTTCGAAGCGCTGGCGAAGCTCTATGATAATCTTGTCACTGGGGATTTCACTCGGAGGGAGGTCTTGTCGTTGAATTTGCAGCTTTTGTTTGTCATCGAAGATCTAAGCGATCATCCTCAAGGTGAGCGGTCGTATGTAGAGATGAGGCCTTAGTGATTTTCCTTTTTCTTTCGTTACACAGGCAAAGTTCTTTCTGGGAAGCACTTCATCACCAGGCTTCTTACGTTGGCTTGCGCTAAGTCGGGGTCTTTAAAACTCAAGCGGGCTTCTGTGGAGACTCTTTGTGCCTTGATTACTCGATCGGCCGAGAACCAGAAGTTTCTGATACTTCACGTGACTGGATGGTGAGTTCGGCTATGCATTCCAGTTTACGTTTCTAACGTTTTCATGCAGCTACAAGCTTTTCAAGGTTTTTCTCCCGAAGTGTGGAGACTTCCAACTTCAAGCTAGTGCTGCGGAGATACTTTTTCGATTAACAAGGAGACACAAGAGGCTCCTGGATATAGTCGATGACGATGCTGCGAAGAGGGCAATGCTATCCATGCACGAGATGAAAAGGCCAGATGTCAAGACCGGCATTAGGAACTTCGTTAACTTGGTCAATGAGTCCCTGGGAGCATCGAGAAGGTGAGAGCAGAGTGCTGACTTTCTGACTCACTGTGCGGATTTTTCTATGCTGTAGCGTTCATTCCTTTCGAGCCTTACAAGTTTTCATCGATGGCAACGAACATACTCCTCACGAAGAAGTATGGGTGCATATCGGAGTGGATCATATCAGCTACTACACAAACTCACCAAGCAAAGTAAGAGAGTGCAATTACAATCAAAGTTGTTTCTGAGGTCAAACTTAACAGGAGTTTGAAGGCGCTGCAGAGATAATGGATTTTGATTTTAAGAATATCAAAGAGATCAAAGGTGAGTTACACTCACAAGTACGGCTAAGCTAGCTATGATGATTTAGTGCTCTCCTCGTCATCTTTGGAGCTCGTTATTTGGAAGCCTCAGGACGATGCTGCCGTTCCAACAAGAACTATAGCACGCTTTCGGTTTTCTTCAGAAGGTATGCGTTGGTTTATCGAATGAGCGGTTCTAAAGTCTTTTGCCTGGATGAAGATGCAAGGCTCGCTTATGAGTGCTGCAGGGCAAGGCTGTCCTCGCTAAATGCAACAGTTCCACCATCAAGTAGTCAGATTCCTTGGACGGGCAAGACATCAATAGGAATTGCGGTGCCTCTGCCAAGAATTACAGACTTCCCAATCATGTCCGGTTGCGCAGACGACAAAACTACAAGAGGTAGCGGTTTTCTCCGAGAAAGGTTTTCTTCTAAATTCTCAAGTTTCTATTTGTAGATGTACTTGTACCAACGACTATCGACAACGTAGTACCAGGGCTTGATACGGACACTAAAGGTAGAGGTCTTTTGTAATATCCCTGTTTGGTGCCAGCGGCTGTTGACTTACCCTTAGACAACGTGAAAGTTCCGCATTCGCCGGAGGTACCCTCTCATTCAATTCCCGATGTAGCAGAGGTTGAGGAAAAAGAAAACGTTGGCCACCTTCGTAGCAAGTTGAAGGCTATGCTTGATGGACCAACAAAGAAAGCGATCGACAAACTCAAGGTCATCCAAGGTATCAAAGAAGTTCTGTAATACATTGGTAATTCTGTTTTTTCTTGTGGCAGAGAGAAGTCCCAGCGTGCAAAGGCAGATCCAGGCCCCGATTCACACTAGAGCACGAGGTACTACGATGCCAGCTTATTATCATTCTTTAACAGCACTATTTGCAGGTCGGCCGAGGAAGAAAGCGGCGCCTAAAACACAGAAGCCAGGTAGGCGAATCAGGTACCTATTGATAGTGCTGAATGCTTTACATTGCAGAGGAAAAGGTTTTATGTGCAGTCGAGCTATCAGAAAATGACAAACCCACCAAGCTGTTTCGTGAGAGGAAGCTTCCTCCAAGACCAACCAAAGAGGCTGCAGCACCACTTAAGCCATTGTTTAGCGCCACGAAAGAGATGATAGCAGAAGGTAACCTCTGATTATTATTCTTGACTTGTCGTTAAGGTTTCATGTGCAGTCGAGCTATCAGAAAACGATAAACCCGCCAAGCTGTTTCGTGAGAGGGAGCTTCTTCCAGCACCAAACAATGACGCTGCACCACCGCTGGAATTTGGCAACCCATTGGTTAGCGCCACGAAAGGGATTATAGCAGAAGGTAACCTCTGATTATTATCCTCGATTTGTCGCTAAGGTTTTATGTTCAGAATATGACAAACCCGCCAAGCTGTTTCGTGAAAGGGAGCTTCCTCCAGCACCAACCAATGACGCTGCACCACTTGAATTTGGCAAGCCATTGTTTAACGCCACGAAAGAGATGGTAGTAGAAGGTAACCTCGGAGTACTTGTCTTTAAGATCGCTAAGGTTTTATGTGCAGTCGATCTCTCAGTAAATGACAGACCCGCCAAGCTGTTTCGTGAGAGGCCAGCACCAAGCAATGACGCTGCACCACCACTTGAATTTGGCAAGCCATTGATTAGCGCCACGAAAGAGATGGTCGTAGAAGGTAATCTTGGAGTACTTGTCTTTAAGATCGCTAAGGTTTAATGTGCAGTCGAGCTCTCAGAAAATGACAGACCCGCCAAGCTGTTCCGTGAGAGGGAGCTTCCTCCAGCACCAAGCAATGACGCTGCACCACCAGTTGAATTTGGCAAGCCATTGTTTAGCGCCACGAAAGAGATGACAGAGATCAAGACCCGGCGGCGCAGGCGGTATACACTTGCAGAGTTGACAAGCGGCATAGAACACGTGAATTTGGCTTCAGAAACAAAGCGTCCAAAATTTGAGAAGGACAACAGTGTTACTCCAGAGTCTCCAATTTGCGATCCCTGCGATGATGATGACATGGATCGGTAAAAATTCTTTGCACCTCAGGATTTGTACTGATCGAAACTTCTTTCAGGGTCGTTGTGCTCTTTGCGAACATGCTGAACAAGTTCAAGAAGAAGTTGCAGTCTCGAGTTCGTGATAAAACTGCTCATATAATAACTTCCACCTCGGAGGCGATCAAATCGGAGGCAGCCTCTGTTGAGCTACAGATTAAGAAGGGCACGTACGTAAGCTCTTCATTTGTTGTTGGTAAGGTTGTGTAACTCCTTTAAACTACAGGGATGATTATGCTCAACAATGTAGAGACAAGCTTGGTCGGATAGAACTGGACCTGCATGGTATGTTAATGTGGAGCAAACCTGGTTTAGGCTCGCTTCTGATATCATTTTCAGAGAAAGCCAAGAGCTTCAAGAAGCTCTGTGAAGATTTTGACAACTTGTTCAAGCACCACAGCGAACAATTAGAGCAAATCCAGACTCAGATGGAATGTACTGACGACGAACTCAACGCCTTGTCGGAAAAACGAAGTAGGCTCTTTCTCTCTGTTGCATGTTTTTACCAAACGAGTGTTTTCTTGGATCAGAGCTAACACAGAGAAAATTGATTGCGCAAATGCAAATGAGGGGCGAAGAACTTCTCAGCGAAGCAGAATCCAAGATTCTTGCCGTCCGAAAGGTTTGTTGAATGTAGCCGGTTTTAAAACTGCGAGTGTATTAACACTGCTCACAGGCTGCCAAGCACATGCAGGGCTTCAAGGAAATACTCCAGCAACTGGTAATGGACACTGTAGAGTTATAAATTGCGGGGTCGTTTAGCATCCGTTAATAAGAAAAAAATTGTAGTGTACTTGAAAATCTTCTTCTGAGTGTACAAGAAAAACTCACTTGATAATCTTCTAGAGTTCATGTAAGACCCTCGCAATTGACTTTCAAAGCTCACATTTGGCAACCCAAACCATACTTCATCATATTAATTAAATGTAATAGTCCTATACTCATCTAACCACTCTTTGTCATATCTACATCTAAATTGTTGGATTCCTCACCATGAGATCATACATTACCTAGTTGAAAGACAAACCATCAATGCACCAGAATTGCTGACAACTTTCTATTAAAAACCTACTGAGCAAACTAAGGGTGAAAACTTGAGTCGAGTGCAAAGAATTTCTATCTGCACTGTGGATTGTAGTAAATTAATAATTGAAAAATATTTTTTCTTTTAATATATTTCTTTCTTAATCTTTTCAAAGATCCTCCAAACACTACCAAATGTCATATTTATATTGCATTTATTTGCAAAATTCAAGATTTGCGTTTCTAACTTTTTTTAATAGAAGCTAGAACTTCTCGGAATTTTTCTTCAGTTCATGGCACGCTTTCTTGAGCAGGGCAAGGTCACGGGCAGTAGCTTCATACCACTCTTGAGACAAAACCTGCATAACTCGGGCTCTGCCAAATCCAACCAGCTTAACACGGAGCTTCCCAGCCTCGTCCACTTTGCTCACAACCTTGGACGTGTTCATGTCGTAGATGGCAATCCCCCGCTTGTGAATCTCGCGCAAGCACTCCATCGCCTGTCTCAGAGTCTCCTCCTGGTCGCTGAAAATGGCCTTGGAAGGATTGGACCACTGCTCCAGCTCGCTGATGCCACCGTCGCTCATCATAACGAAGACGAACATCGCCCCCTTGAGGAACCCCCACGACAGAAGCTTGGGAACCGCAGACCCCTGTATGTGCCTGAGCTTCATGTAGCAATCCACCTCCAGGGCAAGCCTGGACAGAGCGAAATTGGTACCGGCCCTGAACTGACTCGTCAAGTCCCTGATCTTCACCACCACGTCCTGTCCAGCGTACTTTGCCCGAACGGCCACCACCGTGCGGTTAGTGTTCCCACAGCGATGCAGCGGCAGCGTCTCCACGTCGCTCAGATCCTCGAACTTGAATCCGTCGTCCGTGACTGCCTTGTCGACGATCTTGCGTGGATCGATGTTGCTCTGCTTGCACACGAGCCCCAGGATCTCCAGGACTGGAGAGTAGTCGAGCTTAGGCAGCAAGCTCCTCACTTCCGGCGTCAGCAGTGGCAGTCCATGCAAGCTCCTCGCCACCTCCATCGCGAAGCCGAACGCCATGAGCGGATTATCCACGCGCGGCGAGACCAGGAGCTCATCCGCGGCAGCTCGATAGCACGGCCACGACGAGCTGAGATTCGTGAGCACCCCGACGCGAGCTCCCGTTATCTCCATGTAGTTGACGAGCCGGTCTTGCACGAGCTCCAGCTTCTCGGGCAGGTTGAAGAAGTCGAGCAGGAAGAGCAGCACCGGAGCGTCCAAGCCATGGCGAAACAGACATCCTTCCGGCCTCGCGATGGTGCCCGATTGGAGGGAGCCAAAGCTTTCGCCTTCACCGCAGAAAACTTTTACCATGTAGAAGAGGTAGTTCCAGCCATAGATCCTGAAGAACGAGCCGGTGGGATCGGATTGATCGGGCAGCTGCTCAAACCACGAATCCATGACCGCTGGGATGTCCCAGCTCCTCACACTATAGCCGCCGCGATGCATCAACTCGCCAAGCGGTGCGAGCGCCTCACTAACCAACCTCTTCTTGACAGCATCAGGGACTTCGGGATAGGGCATCTTCATGGTCTGCTTGAGAGTTGCCACCGGAAGCTGCTTATGGAAGGTAGTATGCGGATCCTCCTCCTCCGCCATTCTCTCAAGAACCCTAAAAATGTATCCAAGGTGGCAATGTAAAAGGATCCTCTTACTTATCATAAACCCTAAATTCTGCCCTAGCGCTGCGCGGCACAAATTCGATCCTCCTGGCACTCACGATTCATCGCCTACAGTGATTCCTCCTTTCGATCGCGATGGGCATCATCGAGAAAATCAAAGAGATCGAGGCCGAGATGGCCAGGACGCAGAAGAACAAGGCCACAGGTACCGCATTCTAGTGAAATTTCTCTTATGTTTGAATTTCTCCAGAGTATCACTTGGGGCAGCTCAAGGCCAAGCTTGCGAAGCTGAGGACTCAGCTCCTGGAGCCTCCAAAGGGATCCAGCGCTGGCGGCGATGGATTTGAAGTCACGAAATTTGGCCATGGTCGCGTTGCTCTCATTGGCTTTCCAAGGTGAAAAATCTCTTTTTTCTTTCCTTGAGTCGAGTTTTCTTCTTTCTCTATGCAGTGTTGGAAAATCGACGCTGCTAACAATGCTTACTGGGACACACTCCGAAGCAGCATCTTACGAGTTCACGACACTGACGTGCATTCCTGGAATCATTTTGTACAACGATGCAAAGATCCAACTTTTGGATCTTCCGGGGATTATCGAAGGTGCTTCTGAAGGGAAAGGCCGTGGGCGTCAGGTGATCTTGGTTTTTTAGAGAAAAGTTCCACGGCTGCTAACGTTCATACTTGCAGGTTATCGCTGTTGCTAAGTCCTCTGATCTGGTTTTGATGGTCTTGGACGCTTCAAAGGTAAACTGCCATGTCTGATTCAAGTTTCTTTACTCTGAAAATGCTTCACAGAGTGAAGGGCATAGACAAATTCTCACGAGGGAGCTAGAGGCTGTTGGCCTGCGTTTAAACAAAAGACCTCCTTTGGTAAGATTGCAGTACCGTGCAGTCTCTTGTGTTCATTGTGTTTTTCATGTGGTAGATTTATTTCAAAAGGAAAAAAACCGGAGGAATTGCTTTCAACACAACTGTGCCTTTATCTCATATTGACGAGAAGCTCTGCTACCAGATACTCCACGAGTATAAGATTCATAATGCTGAGGTATGTTTGTGGCTTTCAAACCGATAACATCTTCCATTTTCTCTTTCTCATCAGGTTTTGTTCCGGGAGGACGCGACGGTGGATGACTTCATCGACGTTATAGAGGGAAACAGGAAATATATCAAATGCGTCTATGTCTACAACAAAATCGACGTTGTTGGCATTGACGATGTGGATCGATTGTCCAGAAAGCCAAACTCCATCGTCATCAGCTGCAACTTGAAGGTGAGAGAAGGGAAAGTTTTAGTTTGACGAGCTTAACTTCCACTCCACCAGCTAAACCTGGATCGGCTACTCGCAAAAATGTGGGAGGCCATGGGTCTTGTAAGAGTTTATACGAAGCCTCAAGGTCAGCAACCAGATTTCTCGGAGCCCGTTGTGTTGTCAACGGTAAGTCCATGAGTTATTCGCCGACGTTTCAGCGATCTTATGGGCCTGCAGGATCGAGGCGGTTGCTGTGTGGAAGATTTTTGCAACCATATCCATCGCAGCTTACTCAAAGACGTGAAGTATGTGCTCGTGTGGGGGACAAGCGCCAAGCATTATCCACAGCGCTGTGGAGTGACGCATGTCCTCCAAGACGAAGACGTTGTCCAGATAGTGAAGAAAAAGGTGAGCTTTGCTCTCTTTATGTCTTTCGAGTTGGCTAAGCTCCCGGCTTTTAAGCAGGAGACCGAGGAAGATGGAGCCAGGGGGAGATTTAAATCGCATTCCAATGCACCAGCGAGAATTTCCGACAGAGAAAAGAAAGCACCATTGAAAAACTAGCCTCTCTATGCATTAGCCAGAGGTATCTAGTCTTTTTCACACTATCGGATTTCGCCGACCAGACTCACTCCCAGGTCCCAGCAAAGAGGTTTCTTGACGCTCTTCTCCACCAGAAAGATGACATGCTTCATGAAATGAGTCTTCACGAAGCACTGGAAGCAGTGGTCGGTCTTGATGGAGTGACAATTCTGGCACTGGGAAGGCCGCACAGTCTCGTACAAGCACAAAACTCCAACTTGGTTCCTCGCTGGCCACATGATAAAGTCCCACTCATCACCAACAGCGTAAACTTTCCTCTCCTTGGCAGCTCCCAGATCCAGCGATCTTTTCTCGAGAACTCTGGCCATGGGAGGCGCGCTGAAGCTCACGACTGGAATGACGTTGCCGCTGGCGGAGAAGTGAGCCGAGACGAGAATCGCTAGAGCGGCTCCCAGGCTGTGTCCCGTGAGAAGAACTGGTGCTCCAGGATTGGCATCCAAGACTTTGCGGGTGTAGCTCACTGCCTGGGAGAAGTAGTCGAGAGTTTCGCTGGAGAAGTCGTCGCAACTGGTGTCGAGGAGGCTGTCATTGAAGAGAACTTTATCAGCGCACAGATCTGCTCGGCTCGAGAGGTCCGTTCCTCGGAAGGCAACGATGAGAGCTCCACCACTGCTGTTCTTCTTCTGGTAGACGAGAGCGTGAGCACCGAAGCCTGGAGCGAGCGGCTCCACAGTGGGAGCTGGGATCCATCCAGCGAGGGGCTTGAGACTTGGATACCTGTAAGTGTTGGCTGCTACCTGGACGATGGGAGACACGAATTCCTTGAACTTGGAAGCGTCCAGATCCTGGAGGCTGTTAACGTGGTCCCATTCGCCGCCGCCACCAGCATCGACTGAAACGAAGAAGAAGACGCACAAAACTAGCGTTAACGCCATGCCGCAAAAGAGAGAAGAAAAAAAAAAAAAGAGCCTTTTTATAACCTTAGACGACTCCACTGGGGATCGAACCCAGAATCTCTGGTTCCGTAGACCAGCGCCTTATCCATTGGGCCATGGAGTCGCACGTTGTTAGCAAACGCGTTGAGAATCTATGCTTGGACAAAGCATTCGCGCTTTGATGCAAAAGGACACTTAAGTTGCCACCGCAGATACATTTTTTAGCGCCTCCAAAACGCTCTCAACCCAGCTGCGAAAGCAAACCTCTGAGAACTCATGGAAGAAAAGATAAGAAGAGAGCGAGAGAGAGAGAAAGAACAAAAAAATAACAGAAAAGGGGCCAACTTACCCGTCAATTCCAGGATTGTGAGCGTAGAAAATTTTTTCCATGCCGGCTTTCCTTGCAGCAGCGGCAGACGTGCCTCCAATACAAGCCGCCGCTCCATTCCAGTCGTGTGTTTTCGCAACAAGCTCCATCCACGCCCTGTTTGACAAACACTTTTTTTGAGCTTTGGAGTTTTCTAGTTTGGCTTACTTGACAGCGGTGGGAGAAGCAAAGGCTACGACGGAGGCCCGTAGTGCCATTTGGACATCACTCTCTGGAAGGACTTTCACAGATTCCTGGCATAGACAAGTGATAAGAAAAAGAAACGAGAAGAGAAATAAAATGGAAGCTTACAGTGGAGTACGTGTTGAGCCGGCACACCTTGAAACCGCGGTGAGATAGTCCATTTGCTGGAAGACAAAGATACAGTGACGAATAAAAATCGAGAAAGATTTTCTCGTTTTACCAAGATCGTCACTGGCTTTTAGTGATGCTGGATAGAGAACTTCCAAGGACTGGCCGCCGTCCGGCTTTGGGAGCTCCTCCGCGAGAACTTTAGCGGTTGCTGGAGGATTGGAAAAGTGTCAAGATTCTGGAAGAGCTTCTTAGATGTCATTAACATTCTCTTCTTCGCTTCTAGAATACCTTGGGAGGAGACGAATCCAACTTCAAAGTTTGGCTGACTGACAGTGTCACGGAACGCTTGCTTGGTGCCGTCACCAACAACCGCCACTTTGACTTTGGGACAGCCTGCGTTCCTGTTTGGCCACAAAACAAATACGTGAATAAAAAAAGTCAAATCGAAAAAAAAAGAGGAACAAGAACAAGAACAAGGACTTACTTCCATTCATTTGCAAAGACAGCAGCAGCCTCTGGTGATGTCACCACAATCCATTGGAAAGATCGTTCTAAGTTGTCATACAGTTTTGTTTCGTTAAAAGGAAAACTCGGAGAGATATCTCACCTTGCAATGTCAGTGCCAATCGATGTAAATCAGGACCGGGAGTGTGTTCTATCAAAGGGAGCTCCAAACATTCTATTTGGTGATTACGCTGACAAAGAAAAAAAAGAAATCAAAGAGAACGTTTGGTGTGATGCGTCAAACAAACCACACCCAATAAATCTCCTCCTCTCGCTCCAAATACTCTCGTGAGCACAGAAACAAAGAAGAACTCACCAGTGCTTTGATAAGCTTGTCATTCTTGCCGCGCTCCCGGGTGACAACCACGGAATTTCGCCTCTGGCAGCAAATCGTGACACGGGAGGAAAATGCCGGTGTGGAGCACAACACTACCGCTGTCTGAGCTGCAAAATTTGATACTTTCAGCCCGATTCCCAGGAGATCAAGGCAAATCTCACCTCCGAACGCGAGCGCCATAGCCACCAGATCACGAAACCCTAAAGAGAACGCCCATACGTTACGGAAAAAAAGAAGAAAAGAATGCAAACTTGGTTACAAGTCAGTAAAGGTGGTAGAGTTGTTCTCCCTTGAGAAGCCTTTGGCATAGTTGATCTCTCATGGTGAGAAGGTGTTGATCATCTCCACTGCCATGGTGCCAATTTCAGTGACATTTTTTGATCTAGTTGAAGTCTAGTTGAAGAACATTTGATCGCCCATGTACATCAGTTCACTGCTGTGATGGTATGAGCATTCACTCTGCTATCTCTATGACTGTAAGAGGTGTGATTCTACCCAGGGCTAATATTGCTCCAGTGTTGCGGTTTGCGCATTTGCTGGGAGCCCTCAAGCTGCAGCATCAGCCCAGGGTGGAAGTGCACCTGTTACAGTCACAGAGATAGCAGAATGAATGCTCAGATCGTCACAGCAATGAGGTGATGTACTCGAGATGTTGCAAAAAGAGAGGCAATGCCGAGTCAGATCCAGCGCTGGAAAGTTGCTAGAGTACAGTGATCGAAGCTCTTCGAAGCTCCTGGTGCAAGATCCACTTGTGAGTGTCCGCGACATGAACACGTCCGAAGTTGTGAGCAAAGTCGACGGGGTTGGGAAGCTCCGTGTCTGTCAGTGGATCCATGGAGACGGCCAAACCGCCAGCTTTTCTTGCGGCATTGACTAGAACCTGCCCAGCAGAAAAAGAGAGGGCGCCACTTTGACGCATTCAATCGACACGCTGCGTTAGCTGGAACGTTAAAAAAGTTGCTGCTCCATTCCTTTAACTCTCCCCTGTAGAACCGCCGGGATTGCTGCTCTTCGCTTGCTCGATTGAATCTCTAGCGCGTTGAATTTGTCCTTTTCCGCTCCCTGCGACTTTCACTTGGTGTGAGATTGCGACTGCTTCAATTCAATCCCCTCTTTCAAACGCGAGAATCTTTGTTTTTTTTAAGGGATCGCGCTATAAAGTTTCGTCGCTAGAAGAATTGAATGACTCGCGTGCTCAATCGCAACTCTACAAGTCTACAAGAAATTTCTCTGTGCTTTGGAGTGGATTGGAATCAACCAGATCAGCTCTTGCTTCTCGAATCCATCGAGAAAGAATAGTTTTTCCAATTTCGTGCTACCTCTGCTAGATAAGAGAAATCCCCCTTTTCTCTATCGAGGGACCGGGAAATGGATCAAGGCGACGACTACAGTGATGGCAAGAGCTCCACCGGGAGGTCCCCCAGCAGCTGGAGATCAGTGCTAGCATCGCTCAAGAAGCATCTCCAATTCCTCTCGCCCATTCGCTGCCTGGCCATGACTCGCGATTCCTACGTCCGAGGGATGAATAGCTTCGCGGCTAGCAGCGGCGGCATGATGATCCAGGGGCCTCACATTGGCGCGCTCTCCAGGAACGCCAGCCGATCGGCGAGCGAGGACGAGGACGATCTCTACCAGTTGATCCGGGCGGCGAGCATGAGAAAGAGTCGCAGTAGCGGTCTTCATGGATCTGGGGAGAATTTGGGGCCGGCGACGCTGCCGAGGAGCGCCAGCGTCCAAGAACAGGGGATTAAATTCGCGCACCGCGGCAAGATCGTCCCCCGGAGCGTGAGCCACAGTGCGATGAGCAGATTTCCACGAACAGTGCTGGAATCCACTCAAGAAGAATAGGATCATCATGGATCGCGAAAGAATCTCTCGAGTGATCGTTGTTTCCTCAATTTAAATTGTAATTCACTTATTTCCACGGAAAAAGATCCGGTTCCAGGATCTTGCAGCTTTTCCTTTGTCGATCAAGCAATCGGGACGAAGTCCAGAGAAGCTGGCAAAGGATTTTGATGAGCTCAAGCTGATGGTAACACAAGATCCAAAGCTCCGCAAAAATCGCACACGAGAGCTAGAGCTAGAGGACTCTTCTAGATTCTCTCTTATCACATACTTTCGGTCAAGTCAAACTGTTCTGGTCATCGGTATCATTGACTGATCCATTCTTGCAAAAATGACAAGGAGCCCTAATCTTTGAGCGATGGAGGCGGCAGCCGCGATCGATGAGGAGCACGAGGTGTATGGCGCCGAGATCCCTGACGAGGTCGACGAGGAAGCGCACGAAAAGGCCGAAGGGCCCGCCAGAGACGATGGATCTGCCAAGGTTTTTCTCTTCTTAACTTCCTCTTCTCGATCTGCGAGCTTTCTTGGAGTTTTAGGAGCTCGAGGACATGAAGAAGCGGCTGAAAGAAATGGAGGACGAAGCAGCGGCTCTGCGAGACATGCAAGCCAAGGTCGAGAAAGAAATGGGTGCTAGCCAAGGTAATAATCAATCTCTTCTCATTAGAAAAAATCATACCATACAGAGATCTTGACAGGAGTTCCTTCTCTCTCTCTCTCTCTCTCTCTCTCTCTCTCTCTCTCTCTCTCTATCTCTCTCTCTATTTTTTTGTTTTGCAGATGCTAATGCGGCCTCTCAAGCAGGAAAAGAGGAAGCTGATGCTCGCTCCGTCTACGTTGGCAATGTAAGTCTCTCGCCCTTCACGTTGAGCTTCTTTCGATCTTTACTTATCTTCCTGTTTCCTTTGGAAAAAAAAAAAGAGAGAGAAAAAATATATCAGTTTTTGCTTGTTACTCAGGTGGATTACTCGTGCACTCCCGAAGAAGTCCAGCAGCATTTCCAATCTTGTGGAACTGTGAACCGGGTGACGATTCTCACAGACAAGTTTGGACAACCGAAGGGGTACTGTGCAAACTTTTGTGATAATCTTGAGTTGAGGCCTTGTGTTTTCCTGTCAGATACGCGTATGTTGAGTTTCTCGAAGGAGAAGCCGTCCAAAATGCGATTTTGCTGAATGAATCGGAGCTCCATGGACGTCCATTAAAGGTATATAAGGTTTCCTCCAAAGTTGAATTTGGATTCTATAAATTTTTGTATCAGGTGTCTGCGAAGAGAACCAATGTTCCCGGGATGAAACAATACCGCGGGAGGAGATTTGATCCATCCTACGCTTACATGACACGGAGAGCGTACATGCCACCTTATGCCTACGCTCCTTACGGATTCGGGTAAAGAATCGAGTGCAAAGCTCCTTTCCGGAACTTGTCTCTGGCTCACGCGTGGGTGTACATTCTTCTGCCAGGAAAATTCCGAGGTTCCGAAGGGCAATGCGATACAGGCCTTACTTCTGACTGTTGCCTGGAATATATGCTCGATTGGATCGTATCTATTGGGATTCAAGCAAAAGAGCCCAAAAAAGAATGGAAAAGAGCAAGATACTCGCCTTTTATCAAAGGAGAGAGATCATCACGAATCGGGAGAAGAAGCGCAAGAAGATTGTGCAGAGCTTCGCTTTTCTGTCTGCGTTTTGAGAGCCATAGTGCGTCATTCTTTTTCAGTGCCTGGAACTAGAATCCTTGTTAAGGCAGTTTAATTTATTAATAATCAGCCTTTCTGTCTGTGATGTAGTGGCTAAGCTATAGTGCGTTGCTTCATTTTTAAGTTGGAGCTCGCTGAAAGAACGAACGCAAAGCTTTTCTTTAAGAAATATAAGATTCGACACCCGTGGTTGACGTTGTTACACAAAGAGACAATGTTTTTTTGTTGTTTGGGACTTGTTCTCCACTTATAGATATTTTTATCAATTGATAAGTGCTAGCAGGATCCCCCTTTTCTCTTTGCAACACAGGATATATTATACCAAAGGCAAAAAGAGAGAGATTTAGCCGATCATCGTGTTATCTGGGAGATTTTGGCCAAATTATCTTAAAGAAAAGGGAGAAAGATTTGAGAGGAGCTCCACTACACCAATTGCGGCTCTCTGAAACTCAATCATTCCGCATTGTGCTCTGTGACCACCAGCATTTCATTTCATAGCATTTCCGGAGTTTGAGATTTGCAGCTCCCCACAAGATTACAAAGCCCACCCACACACACACACATAGCTTTCGAAAAAACTCAAGTGCCCTCGATACGATCGTGAGATCTGGCAAGTCTTGCCAGCAAAACTGTGGGAGGTCGTAAACAAGGCATCAACCGAAATGATCCTGGCATGAACCTTGGGAACTTCTCATGACCTCAAACTTATCACGGTGCATGCGCCCTGTATCAATGATACCCATATATACAATTAAGTACGCATACGCAAAACAGAAAAGCTTAGGTAAAGGCTGGACAAAAGTAAAGCGGAGGTCAACCAGCTTTTGTGCCAATTGATCGATCGCGGATACATACACTGCATGGAAGTCGATTCCAACACGCTGCTTTTTTGGGTGGCGCAGCACTAATGTGCTCGAGCACGAGCGAGGAGGACATTTAGGACAGACAAAGAACTTACGTGACAAAAAAGAAAGCGAGCAAAAGCTCTTTCGTGCTTCCTTGGAGACAACCAAAAGGAAAGGAAAAAGAAAGTTAGGGCTCATCCACAGGGACCGCCACAAACCCTAGAGAATAGAGAATATGCCCCCAATCTTCCAATAGAAAAATTCGCTTGCATTATCAACCCCAAAGAATGTCAACTATGGGGGCAAGTAAATAAGAGAGGAGATCGATCATATCATAGTGTTTGATTATTTTTTTGTATGCCCCACGCTTAACTGTCTGGCTCCTCCACGTCATGCTCCCATGACCTCGCGTGCTAGCAATCACCATAATGCGGCGCATGCTCCCATTCGCCCTTCCACGTGGCCGACCTCCCGGTGTTCCTGGCGGCCAGGATGGTGCCACGTGGACACCGCGCGGATGTTGGCCACGTGGATTGGGCTCTAGCACGCGCGATCGCTTATTCCCGATATATAGCCCTCTTTTTTGCTCTTTGAAACCAGGGTTTCACAGCGATAACGTGTTTTTTTATTTTGTCTCGAGCGAGCGAGCGATCGATCGATCGATCGGCGTCGAGTGAGCTCTTCTTTTTCTTGCGGATCATCTGCTCGGAGCTCGCGCACCGCAAAATCTGGTGTTGGCATCGCATTGTCGCCGTGTGCGAGCTTTTTCTTCGCTCGATTCTTCGCCTTCTCCACTCGCGACGCGGGGCGGCGACGTGGGATCTTTGCCAAGGTTTCGTCATAGGAAATGTGAAGCGAGGATCGATCTCTCACGGGCAAATGCCTTTTGGCCGCATTTTGGTTCTTGACAGGAAAGGCGATATGGGGGAAGTTCACGTCAATGGCACAGCCAAGCTGAATTCCAAAGCGAATTCCAACGGGATCGCGGCGCTGGGCAGCAACAATCACCGCGGCCTCTGGTTCGAGGAGGAAATCGAGGATGATCTGCGCTGGGTGTTTAGCGTCTCTAGGCAAGTCGAGAAGAAAATCCATTCCTCCTTTGTTTTCGGTCGTTGTCTATAACTCCACGCTTCTTTCCAGGGTACTCCACACCGGCATTAGCGAGTTCCAGGACATCGCCTTGGTCGAAAGTGGTCCCTTCGGCAAGGTTTATAGTTTTTCTTTGATCAAGGATCATAGAACTTAATTCCTATGATCTTAAGAACTTCCATGTAAGAGCTAAGTGAATCATGGACCATTCTTGCAGGTGTTGATCCTCGATGGAAAGCTCCAAAGTGCCGAGGCCGACGAGTTCGTCTACCATGAGTGCCTCGTCCACCCTGCATTGCTCTATCACCCCAAGTAACTCATCTCACAGATACCTCTCGCTCTTTCTCTTTTTTCTCTTGCTATCTCGGCTAAGTTTCGATCTCTCTTGGTGCTCCAGCCCCAGGAATGTCTTCATAATGGGGGGTGGCGAGGGGTCCACTGCTCGCGAGGCACTCAGGCACAAGAGTGTCAAGAAAGTTGTCATGTGTGACATAGATAAGGTACGTATTTTGCTCACTTTACAAAAGCTCTCGTTCCGTTCTTTTTGGTTTTCTAAGCGGAACCCTTTGTTTTTCGCCGCACAGGAAGTTGTGGAGTTTTGCAGAGCACATCTCACCATGAACCACGAAGCATTTCACAGCAGCAGGCTGGATCTTGTCATTAACGATGCAAGGTTCAGTGCCAGAAGAAATTGTCGCTGGAACATAAATCCTGATAAGTTTATGTTCTTGCAGAGCCGAGCTGGAAGAAAGGCAGGACAAGTTTGACATTATCATTGGCGATCTTGCCGACCCGGTTGAAGGTGGCCCCTGTTACAAGCTCTACACTCAGTCCTTCTACGAACGGGTTGTAAAACCCAGGCTTAATGCCGGTGGCATTCTGGTCACTCAGGTGAGCTTCGGATTTTTTTCGCGATGAAAATCGTCACTTCCAAATGCAGGGAGGCCCCGCTGGTATTCTAACGCATTCGGAAGTCTACTCGTCCATTTTCAACACTCTGCGCCAAGTTTTCAAGTGTAAGCTTTTGTTCGTATGTAATCTTTCCAGGAGCGTTTTGACTTAAAAAGAGTTCGCGTGTGACAGACGTCGTCCCTTACGCAGCTCATATCCCATCCTATTCCGACTCATGGGGCTGGATCATGGTAGGCCCATTTCGATCCAAAGTTCTCAGATCTGATTCGCTTTTCCTTTCGTTTGTCAAAGGCCTCGGATCATCCCTTCGCCCAAGTCAGCGTTCAAGAGACGGACTCGAGGATCAAACAAAGGTTTGATAGCGAGCTCCGGTTCTTGGACGGGGAGACACTGAGCGCAACTCTGGCTCTCAACAAGCACGTCCGGCAAACGTGAGTGCTTTCTCTTTGTTTTTTTTTTTTCTTTTTTGTTTTAGCTTCTCGATTTCTCATTGTTTTGTGCAGCTTGGCCGGAGAGACGCATGTCTACACTGAAGAGAGCGCACGATTCGTGCACGGGCATGGAGCAGCGCACAGCGCGCAATCCTGATTTAATACCCGGGATTTTGTATCGGCTCATATGTACATTATAAGTCGAATGAATGGACTTTTATAACTTGCAAGATATTGTCTTTCTTGACCATGGTAGACTATAGAAATCTTTTGACCATTGGACCGAATATACCAGCTAAAACCCTCGAGGTTTTTAGGCATATTTAAACGTCTGGCTATGGCGGCGTTAGACAGTAGTTGCGTGTTTGGTGCGTGCTAGGCTAGGGTTCTTCATTCGTTCTTTGGGAGGGGGGAGCCTAGGGCGTGCTTCTTGCGTCTGGCGGCCGCATTCTTGCCGCGCTCTTCTTGGATTCTCGGCTTGGATTTTTGGAGCGCATCAAAGTGGCGGGCGGCGGCGGCGGTGGTGGCGGCGGTATGGCGGCGAAAGAGGATCATCAGCACCTTGTTCACGATCAGCTGCCAGATATCGACTACTGCCCCAACGATAGCCCCGGCATCGGTAATCTTTGCTTGGGGATTCCTTTTTCTCTTGTTTCTTCCAGGGGTTAACGAGCTTGTTCTTCTTGCTTCTTTCTTGTTGCATCGCAGCCGAGGCCGTTCTCTTGGGATTCCAGCATTTTGTCACTATGATCGGGACAACCGTGCTCATTCCCAGCTTGTTTGTATACGAAATGGGGGGGAACACGGTAATCGAACAGTGCTTTCCTTTGTTTTTTCTCTTTTTTATGATTCTTCCACTCATCCTCGCTTCTCTCGCAGGAGCAGCTCATTCGAGTGATTCAAACGCTCCTCTTTGTGAATGGAGTTATGACTCTCGTGCAAAGCTTCTTTGGCACGAGGCTGCCAATTGTTATGAATGCGTCCTTCTCGTATGTGATACCAATATGGAGGATTGTGAACTCGCCGAGGTATCGCTCCATATTTGAGGATTACGAGGTGAGACCACCGCCTAAAGAGTTTCTTTGTTTCTATCCTTTCGCTCACTTTGCTTCTGTGTGTTCACAGAGGTTCTACCATACACTCCGAGCTATTCAAGGGGCTTTGATCTGCGCATCGATCATACAGATCATCCTTGGCTTCAGTGGTCTTTGGGCAGTTTTGTTGCAGTAAGTGTGATTAACTTCTGGCCTCTCAACTCCAGGGTTATGACTTGTGTGAGATCTTGCTTGACAGCTACCTTTCACCTCTTTCTGTTGCGCCAGTCATTGCTCTAGTCGGCCTCGGACTGTTCGAGTATGGGTTTCCTGGGGTCAGCAACATTGTTTCCCATAATAATCGCTAGAATAACCTGTTTGTCAGGTTGCGAGCTGTATCGAGATTGGACTTCCCGAAGTTATTCTCCTTATAATTATTTCCCAGGTTGCTTTCTAAGCGTGTTTTGGCTTCTGATGATCACTGCCCTTTTTTATGTAGTTCCTGGGGAGGCTAACCGCTAAGAAAAAACTGCCTTTTTTTGAGCGCTTTCCAGTGCTTATAAGCGCGGCCATTATATGGGCTTATGCTCATCTACTGACCGTCAGTGGTGCATATAAACACGCGACAGAGCTTGGAAAAGATCACTGTCGAACAGACCGAGCTCACTTCGTGAAAACTGCCCCCTGGTATGATTTGAAGTTTCTGATGTTGGAGTTAAATCAAGCCTGACTTCAGGGTGCGACTTCCATTTCCTCTTGAATGGGGTGCTCCAACATTTAATGCCGGTGATGCATTCGCTTTCCTTGCATCGGCTTTTGTTTCACAAGTTGAGGTACGCTCAAAAGTGTAGATTGTAAACCTGCAACTAACGTGCTCATGGACGAACAGTCCACAGCGACAATATACGGTGTGTCAAGGCTGTCGAATGCAACTCCGCCACCGCCTTTCATCGTGGGCCGAAGTATCGGTTGGCAGGTTTGTAAAGTGTTTTCCTTCATATCTTGATTATCGCGTTCTGGTTTGCAGGGTATCGGTGTTCTTTTGAATGGTCTTTTTGGAACAATCACGGGGTCCGCTGTTTCCGTGTAAGTAGAAAGCTAGAAATTTGTGAAAACGTTTTTCAACACATCTGTTGTCCTCTTCCAGGGAAAATGCTGGGCTTGTTGGTCTTACCAGAGTTGGCAGTAGGCTTACTGTTCAAATTGCAGCACTGTTTATGATAGTTTTGTCTATCTTTGGTACCTTCAGACAACCTCGCGATCTGTTACACTCATTTGTTTTTTCATGCAGGAAAATTTGGAGCTATTGTTGCTTCAATTCCCCAGCCGATCGTCGCTGCTATAAATTCTGTTCTTTACGCTGTCCTTGGTAAGCCTTACAAGTATTTCTCACAACCTTGTTTTACTTTCCTTCCTCAGCTGCCGTTGGACTTTCATATCTTCAATTCACGAATCTAAATATCATCCGCAACTTATTCATTCTGGGCTTCACGCTTTTTATGGGGTTCTCAATTCCACAGTACTTCTACGAATTCACTATCTCCAGTGGACACGGCCCTGTACATACTGGAGCAGGCTGGGTAAGGTTTTCATGTCTGGCTGTGCCAGAGAGCGACACTTCGCTAACTTGTCCACCGTGCAGTTCAATGATATCCTCAACACAATATTTTCATCGAATGCCATGGTGGGGTTCATCCTTGTAGTCATCCTCGACAACGCGCTCAAGACTCATAAGAAGAACAGGGGATACGGCTGGTGGAAAAAGTATCACAAGTGGAAGACGAGTGCCACCAACGAGGAGTTTTACAAGCTGCCATTCAACCTGAACAAGTACTTCCCGCCGCCACAGGTCTAAGCAAAGGCTCAACTCAGACGCCAGGCGGAGAGAGAGAAAACACAAGAACCGCATGACACTCAGACACACATACGTCTCTTTTGCGAGAAAAGCTGCCGCCTGCGATCACTTCAGTGTTCCTGGTTTCTTTCCATCCATGTACATCGAGACCTGTGCCGCTGCACCGCTGCCCCGCTGCTGGGCGACGACGAGTAGGAGGGAGGAGGCGGTAGGCATGAACTTTACATCAACAGTCTTGCTACACAGCTAGTGTTCCGCTGCTACTAAAGCTCTTTTGTTCTGTTAACTACATTGGAGAGAAGCTGTGAACGCAGATCTGTCACTGTAGTAGCGGTTCGATAATGCTGCTGCTCTTGCAGGCAGCTGTTCCCAGATTTTGTTCCTCCTTTGGTGCTGCTGCTGGTGCTGGTGTTATCAAGGTCCACTCCTCTCTCTAGGTACTTATTTGCATTCCAGCATTTAGAGGATATGAGCTTTTTGCAGCAGTGGCAACCTGCTGTGTGAGCTCAGCTCACCAGCCATGTAGGTGGTAACCCTCCCCAAAAGTGTGTGTCAGCCACCACTGCCTGCCTGCCTGCAGTCTAGGTGGATGTTGACCATAGCCAGATGCCAAACATGATGCCAGTCCTTGCTTTGTGTTGGAGCATTATGTGTTACAGCATGATTGTGTTGGTAATGTGTATGGAGGAGAGGCAACACAGGTCTTGGACAACTGGAGAAGAAAAAGCATTCCTTGAGTTGAAGGAGGGAGGCTGTATGTTTGAAGTGTCACATGGCTAGCTAACATGATCATAAAGAAAGAATCTGTGCATTTTTCTGTGGTTTGTGGCTCAAATGATGCCAGCCAGGCCCCATGTGAGCAGGGGCAGGACAGCCATTTAGGCCAACAAGAAAATAAAAAAGAGAACATCACAGAGTCACATGTTTGTTTTCTTGGAGGTTTTCCTTCTCTCTCTCTCTCTGTTGTTTTTTTTTTCCCTCTGTTTTTGTCATTGCCAGAGGCAACCCCTGGTGCCCATTGATTGATTGATTGATTTTGATGGGCCGACTGTTTTTTGGTTGATCATGGTATTCCATGGGCTACTAGGTTCAGAGAGAGCTCTGCTGGACCAAGGTTTCAAGCAATGTACACTGGCTGGATCTGATCACCTAGCTATCACCTTTTGATTTTACAAGTTGGTGATGCTCTGTTACTCTGGTGTGTTTGTGTGTCTGAAAAGATGAAGTTGGTGTCTCAGCTGCCTCCCATTTCTGAAATGCTGTAGAGAGATGGCCTCCATTGCCCAGGCCGGCTGTTGAGAGGTTTGAGATCCGTGGCGGCTGCAGGTGCAGCTTGCTGCGGCTGCTGATGAAGAGAAGAAAAGTTTCTGTGAAGCTCCTTTCTAGAAAAAGATTACAAGTGGTACCTGAAGTAGTACATTGCTGAACTTGAAAGTCCGGGTTGATTCAGGGGTGACTTTGGACGCGGCAATGCTTTGCTTGATCGCATCCTTGGGTATCTTTATGTTTCCTTTGCCTTCAGTGAGATCTCCAATCACTTCTGCAAACCGATTTATAAGATCACTTGTCCCACAAACACTCTGCCTATCGTGCCATCAGAGGAGAAAAACACGAGTGTAGTTACCTTCATACGTGACAAGGCGATAGCATTTCCCAATGCTGAGCATCGCTGCCGGCGGAAGCAACTTGAGCTTGGGCTTGAAAGATTGCGAGCCGGAACTGGGCGATGCCTTCGGCCACACGAACATTCCAACGTAATGACCCGGATTTTGCAGCATCAGCTGCCTCGCAGTCACACTCCAGTAGATTTTCTCGATTCGTCCTCCTGGGTACTCCACCACTGCAGCCACTGCATCCGATGCATGGCAATTCCCCATCGCCAAAACCACACCAAGAAGGAAAACAGTGGCACCGAAAGAAACGCTTTCAAGCTCTCGATCGACCTCGCCTCGAATTGCGAGAGAAACGCTCACACGCTAGCTTTTCCACACGACCTTGACAAATTCTGTGAGTTCTATCCCAATGTAAAGTTGCGGAAGATCTCTTTCGCGCTACTGTTTCGTCCACTCAAGATTGTCGAGCGTCGCGAAACTAAACGATGAAACGAACTAAAGGCCCACAGATCGACAAGACAGGGAGAGAATGAGAGAGATGGAGAGACAAAGCACAGAGAGCGCAGTGCAGCCTTACAGGAGAAGAGCTCGCTTTGAGAGAAAGAAAGAAAGAAAGACAAAAACAAAAGAAAGCAGCCAAATGCTAGCCCTATGATCGATTGATGCGTGTTGTGTCGTTTTATTCCTTTGCTATTTGCCCCACTGCTCCATCTCCATCTGTTCTTCGTCGATACAGACACACACCACCACCAAAAAACGCTCCCCTTTAAATCCCCATTTCACATCCTCTGATCGTCTGGCTGACTTGTAACTCCGGATCCATCTTTGCTTGCTCGCTCGATTGCCTGTGTGTGAGGAAATCTCGCGGATATCAAGAACAAGAACCACATAAGGATGGATTTTTGCAGTGCCGGCGATTGGATCGACCGATTCGATTCTTGGGCGTAATTTGGATTGCTGGGTCGATTCGTTGGGCTGAGCGTTGATCGCTCGCACTCAATCATGCTACCGCCGACAGGCTCTGCGAGAGAATGGGTAAATGCCCGCTGCTGGGCATCTCAGGATTGGAGCGATCGAGAGAAAGAAAATGGTTTCGTGGGTCCCTTGTACCGCAACAACCCTACTACTTTCATTCATTTCGATCCACCAGCGAAGTCGCCAGTCGCCATAGCCAATGCTTCCCTCACCCCCTGCTCTTTCATTTAATGCCCAGGTGGGCGAAGAAGAAAGGTGAATATACCAGCGCACATTCCACCGCGGGGAACTATGCCAGGAATATGCCTCGTCCTGCTCGATGCGAGGGAAATTGGAGGCGGGCGTCTTGGAAGCGATCAATCGCCTGGACAATGCCGCGGCGCCCAGCTCCTCCGATCGCTACGCCTCGCTCCTCCGGCAATGTGGCAAGGCGCGGGCGCTCGCGCTGGGCCGGCGCGTCCACGCAGACATGGCGCGATGGGGCGTTGGGCAGGGCCCTTTTCTCGCGAATTTCCTCATCCAGATGTATGGAAGCTGCGGCAGCATCGAGGAGGCGTGCGCAGTGTTCGAGAGAATGCCGCACAAGGAGCCACACACCTGGAACTTCATGATCCAGGCATATGCCCAGAACGGGCATCCACAACAGTCGTGGAAAACTTTCCATGCAATGCAAGGGCGAGGGATTGTGTCGTGGAATCTGCTTATCGCCGCGCTTATCAAGAACAATCTTGTTCACGAAGCAAGACAGACGCTTGATCGCATGCCTGCGCGGGACACTGTCTCTTGGAACGCGATTATCACCGCAAATGCCCAAAGCGGGCAAATATTTGAAGCGCGCAGGGTCTTCGACGAGACGAGGGACAGGAGTGTCGTAACTTGGAACGTGATGATTCATGCATACGCGCAAGATGGCGATTTGGATCGCGCTAGAGAGATGTTTGAATGGATGCCGGAGAAGGACGCAGCGTCATGGAATGGGCTGATCGAGGGGTACGCGCGGAGTGGCAATCTGGAGGAGGCGAGAAAAGTGTTCGACGAAATGCCAGAGAAATCGACACTGTCATGGAACACCATCATCGCGGCATACGCACAGCGGCAAGGCTACTTGGAGCAAGCCAAGGATCTCTTCGATCGAGCTCCAAATCCGGACGCTTTCACCTGGAACACGATGCTCTCGGCGTATGCCGCAAATGGCTACCTTTATGAGGCTTGTAAAATATTCGAGGAGAATCTCATGGGAGATCCGGTGTCGTGGAACGCTATGGTTGCAGCAAATGCGGAGAATGGGCATCTGGAGGAAGCATGGAGACTCTTCGTTCAGATGCCGAAACGGGACGAGGTGTCGTGGAACACCGTCGTGTCCGCCTACGGCCAGGACGAGAACATAAGTCACGCAAGAAAAATCTTCAAAAAAATGCCACAGTGGAACACTGTTTCATTCAATGGCTTCCTCCAAGGCCTGAGCCAGCAGTGTACCAAAGCAGGCGTCACAGCGATGGACGAAACGAAGGAAGTCTTCGCTGCAATGCCCCGCCGGGACGTGATCTCCTGGACGGTGTTCATGTCCGCCTTCTTCCACTCCCGTGATCCCACCCAAGCCGCCAAGATCTTCGACAAAATGCCGCTAAGAAGCTCCATAACCTTCACCGCTATGATCACCGGATATGCCCAACTCGAGCATCTGCTGCAAGCTCGCAAAACCTTCGATCAAATGCCTCTCAAGAATACCCACGCCGCCAACGCGATGCTCCAGGCCTACGCACTAAACGGCCGCATCGCCGACGCCACCGCAGTCTTCGCCACCATCCGTGATCGCGATACCTTCTCCTGGAACCTCCTCATCACCGCAAATGCCCAGGCCGGGGACGTCGCCCACGCTGAGAAGCTCTTCCACTCCATGCCCCGCCCGGACGTGGTGTCGAGGAACACCATGATCATGGCCTACTCGCAGCAGCCATCGCTTCTGGATCGAGCTCGCAGCCTCTTCGACTCCACCGCGAGCAAAAACGTCGTAACTTGGAACTGCATGCTCGCTGGGTACGTCGAGCACGACCGAGATGGCGACGCTCTTCGCCTGTTCGCGGCGATGGAGCAGCAGCAGAGCTATGGCTGCCGCCCCAACCGCGTCACCTTCGTCATCGCTCTCGACGCCTGCGCTCGTCTCGCGGCTCTTACTCAAGGCCAGAGGATCCACTCCACGCTCGCCGCCATAGACAGCGAGCTTGCATCCGACGTAGTGCTCAACACCGCTCTCATCAATCTCTACGCAAAGTGTGGCCGACTGGAGCAATCAAAATCGGTTTTTGATGCCATGGCGAGGCACGACACCGTCTCCTGGACTGCCATGCTCGCGGCGTACGCGCAAAACGGGCACCCCGGGGTGGCGGACGAGCTCTTCCTGGTGATGTGCCTCGAAGGAGTCGGGCTCGACGACGTGACGCTCGTCAGCTTGCTCGTCGCTTGCAGCCATGGCGGAACGCTGCGTCGGGGCCGGGAGAGCTTCCTCCTCGCGAGAGGCGAGTTTGGGATCGTCCCGACGATGGAGCACTTCCTCTGCATGGTGGATCTTCTCGGGAGAGCCGGGCAGACGCAGCAGGCCGAGGAGCTCATCCAGACCATGCCTTTCGACACGGACGCCATCGCCATGCCGTGGATGTCGCTGCTGGCGGCTTGCAAGAGTCACCGGGACGAGGAGCGAGGAGCTCGAGCGGCGGAGAGGCTCTTCGTGCTGGATCCTCACGGTGCAGCTCCGTATCTCCTCCTGTCGAGCATCTACGCGGCGAGCGGGAAGAAGGACAAGGTGGCCGAGCTGAGGAAGTTGATGGAGCTGCGAGGAGTGAAGAAGGAGCCCGGTTACAGTTCCATCGAGATTGATGGAGCTCTCCACGTCTTTGTGGCTGGGGACAAGACGCATCCTCTCCAGGATCACATCCACGCCGAGCTCCAGATGCTCGAGAGCAAGCTCGGCATCCATGGTGTCCAGGAAGAGATGGTGGCGCACCACAGCGAGAAGCTGGCGATGGCGTTTGGACTGATTGCCACACCTCCCAGAACTCCGCTGCTGGTGACCAAAAACCTCAGAGTTTGCGTCGAGTGTCACACCACGATCAAGCTCGTCTCGAGGATCGTTGGGAGGAGGATTGTTGTGCGGGACAGCGCGAGGTTTCATCACTGCGAGGATGGTGTTTGCTCCTGTGGTGACTACTGGTGATCGAGTTCTCTTTTGTTTATCGGAGCATGGAAAAGAAACGTCGATTTAGAGACTGACAAGGAAAGATGGATCGAAGGTACCTCTTCCACTTATGTGTTCTTGATGGCTTTGCCTGGAGATTTGGAAGAAACTCCAAGGCTCGAGAACTTGACTGGACCAGGGCCTTGCACAGCTTTCAAGCCTCCCACGGATGCTGATGCGATCTGGAGAGAGAAACGTAAAGGAAAGAAGTTTTTTCAATCGATCGACGCTGTTCTTGATCTTACCTTCTTCTCGAGATTGTAGATGCCTTGCCACCCACGCATTTGGAATGGGATCACCAGCTTCTGGAAGTGGTAAAACCATGAGCCATGAACAGGAAAGAAGCATAAAAGAGGAAGAAAAATCCGTTAAGTACTCACTTGGGGATCTTCACAGAGCCAGCAGTACTCACTCAGCGCCTCCATGCGTATCTGTACAGTCGAAAGAGAAAAACTAAGCTTCAATCGAGAAAAAGCTACTCTCTTACACTTTGAGGAAGTTCTTCGCGGCTGACGAGCTTTTCGAGCTTCACACAATCCACCACATTGACGCAACCTGGACAGTTCTTGTCAAGAAGTTCTAACGATCTTTTCGTTGCTCACCGAGCAACACCGACGTTGGATAAAACTCGGGAAATTTGATGTCTTTGATCCCTTGTGCAGCGTAAACCTCAGTGTAGAAGTGCTCCAGCTCTCGAATTGTCTCTGCCTCGGGCACCTTTGCCGCTGCGTGGATCCACAAGCGGCCTAGGAAATTCAAGAGAGAGTTTGGCAGAAATTCAAGAGCAATTGGCGCTCACCGCGCACCGAGGAGCTCCAAGATCGGCCTTCGATCCTCTTGATCCCATGGACGAGCAGCGACGCCCAAGGCTGATGCATTGTCAGGCACACCTCCTTCTTGTCCGCCATTTCTCGCCCAAAATCTAGGTCTAAGAATCCTGTGAGCATATTCTTTTAGCATCTCTTGGTATATTCTTTTCAAGAAATGCTGGTTTTTAATGAACCCTAGTTGCGGCTAGGGTTCTTGGGGTTTTGGGGAAAGCATTTCTTCGTTGAGTTGTGGCCGGCATCGATCTCATTGCCGGCCACAAATTCTAGAATGCGAGAATGGTTCCATGGCCTTGTGATCACTGCCGATTCGATTGCGCCAATCTCCAGTGCCCCACGAGGCCGATAATCGATTCACAGCTTCAAAGGATTCTAATCGGCGAAATTTCTCTCTTGACACGAGCGCTGCGCTGGTATGTGTACTTGCTTTGTTCTTGGAAATTTCTGCCGAGAGGAACTTGGGCCAGGCTAAGTTGGGGTCTCGTCTCTGTGGCGTGTGCCTTTATTTGCTTTGGAATTCTCCTCTTTCTTTTTGTAGTTTTTACGCATACTAGTCAGGCTGTTGCCAAGGAAAAAAAGTCTTCTACGATGGTTCTCAGCCGTTACACGTATGGAAGATTGATCTGGTGAGTTCTCGCTGTGGAGCTCTGTGGTTTTCACTTGGCTTTTCATGCGAGGTCTCTCTCAGAGGATTTAATCGTAGCTCCTTGTGACTTGTTACGTTCATCGAGCTCCATTCGAATCCAACAGCAGCGAGTGATGCTTTTCGATCGGCCTGTGATGACATCTTAATACTTGCTACTCTTGATTGCTTAGATGATGACGCTTTGTCCACCAAGATCTCTGAGGCCTTGTTTTGTGATTCTTGGTCCAATTTTGTCCAGGTTTTTTTCGCAGCTCGAAGTGCAGATGATGATTCAATCGTCTAGATAGGGACAGCTGAAAATCTCTTTCGTGCTGATCACTTAAAAATGGGAATCTCTCTGATGCACTGCTGCTATTGTTGCCCATGTTGCCCAATTAGCAAATACCGTTTTAATTGTCAATAGCTTTACTGCATATTTAAAAGGTTAAAAATGGATATAGTATTTTAAATATATTCATACTTTAACTTTTTAAAGTAGTATTTTGTTCTTTTTTCACTTTAGAATATATTAGTGATATGGTCTATATTCTATATATATATATATAACTTTAGTTAAGTAATATATTAATTATAGTATCATAGCATATATATTGTTCATTTGGGATTGAATCTGGTCAATTTATTTTTGTATATAAGCAAGGGTGTAAACTCTAATTAATATATTTATTTCTATATCCTGATCACTTAAATTGGTGGAAGTAAAGGGTATTGCAATTTGTCTTTGAAGGGCAAAGCATTTTATGCTTTGCTTTAGTGGTTAGTATTATGCTTTTTTATTCTTATTTCTTCATTTTCTTTTAGATCTAAATCTGTATTAGTTTTTTCACAAGATTTAGAATTTCAACTATCGTTGTGCTCTTTTTCTTTTGATCTTTATTGCATTCTTTTTTTCTACCATGCCATGCCATCATCAATCAAGGAGTATATCACTTGAGGTTGCTAATGCTATTCTGTTGGATCGAATTTTTGGTGCTGTGGGGTGTGATTATATTGGTGTTGCACCCATCCTTGGTGTGTTGTTATCTCCAGCTTTTGTGGGACAGCTTGTCCTATTCTCAGCGTTCTATCCATATCTCTTATTGATATAGAATGTGATCATGATATTAATTGGCAAGCTATAGATGATGTGAAAAGAGTGGCAGCAGTGGCAGCTTTTGTTGGTTCATCAAGTAAGTGCTCCTCAAAGTTGATAAGTCTCATTTTGTGCCTCTTTTGTGCTGTGCTATTTGTGATTTTGGTACAAAATCTGTGCAAAGGGATCTAGAGATACATTTCATTGCAGGAAGAACAAAAAAAACAAAGAAAAAAGAAAAGAATAACAAAAACCAAAGCTTGGTCACCAAAAGACGAAGTCTTAGAGAATGTTTGAGGATCAAGTTTATAGCAAAACGATGTGTACAAGTTTGAGTGGATTTCAATCGATCATTTGTGACTTTCATGATTCTCATTCTCAGTCCAGTGTTGAGTTGAGTGTTTTCTATCTTCCTCATACTAAGCTAAATGTTGAGTGTATCTATGAAATTGAGAATCTTGCTTTTGTTTCATTGGCAAAGTCTTTGATTAGTTTTGGTGTTGAGTATTCCCCTGTTACAAGGGTTGAGTCACTTTGGCCAGAGTTTCGGATTGAATATATGTCCCCATTTGGGAGTGCCGTTAAGAGCCTTTGCTTTACTATTGTTGCTAAGGAATTTATATATTTACTTTACTATTGTTGCTAAGGAATTTATATATTCCCTTGAGAGTGTGGATGTTATTGTTAATTTTTCTGTCTCAAGTGTTGAATTATGTGTTGAGGAAGTTGAGTGGTGTGAATCTTTTGCTTATATTGTGGTGGCCGAAGTATTTTATGATAAGAAGTCTTTTATTTTCCAAACTTTAAGCACAGGTTCTTATGATTTCCCCATTTCTGCATTGTCAATTGCTGTAAATTCCTCTTTCAATGTTTTTTTATCCTTTTTTTCACAATTATTTTTCTTCGATTTTTCTCATTTTCTCCTTTTTGCCCTGACACTTCAAACTTCTTTTTCTTCGAAGGAGGGGGTAAAGGGGATGGACAGGAGTCCGGCCCTGATGATGGAGTGAGGACGAGCGAATATAGTAGTGGAGCAATGACAAACAACATGGATTGTGGAGTGAAAACAAGCATAACAAATCCGAACGGAACATTCAGCCCCGATATAGTGAGGCTGAACAGATGCAATAGTGGAGTGAGGCTAAAGATAGATAGTAAAGTGAGGATGAGCACAACGAGTTCAAATGGAGCCAATGCTTCAAAACTTTTTTTCCTTCGAGGAGGGGATAAGGAGAATATGGAAGACAAACAGAGTGAGTCCAACTTTTTTAGTTCAAAGTTATAGTTGCATGGTTAGTTTGAGCATTTAGGAGCTATATATAGAATTGCAACTAGTTCATCGAGGTTCTGTAATCGGCTAATGCTTATACCATGGTTTTGGATTTTATTTCAATCATAGTTATTAGCAATTTTGTTGGTGGTTTTGTGGGAGTTTCAGATTCTTGTGGTAGTTTATAATCCTCCAACAAAAGCTCCAAATGTTCCACTTGATTTATTATCATCACCTTTTCATCTTCTGGAGAGGAGGATGGTATAAGGTTTGTAAATACATTTATTACCCTAGTTAAGTAATACATTAATTATAGTTTTATAGTATATGGACCATTCGTTTAGGATTAAATTTGGTCCATCCATTCATGTATATAAGCAGGGGTCTAAACCCCAATTAATATACCTATTTTTATATCTCGAGCACTCACACACACACACACATATATATAAGAGATTATGAACATTTGGCACCATATAGATCCATTGATTCCTCCTCATGATGTTCCTTTAGATCCTGGCCTATCCACAAGAGAACCCTGATTGTTTACATCATTCCGACAGGAGGGGATGATATGAGGTCTAAGTATACAGCTAAAATGCCATATATTAATATTAGCATAGTGGGATTTTAGTAGCTGTCAAATTGATTTCACTAGACCACTCACTCCTATATATACACTAGGGTTTTTGGGCTAGTGTATATATAGGAATGAGTGATCTAGATTGAAATCAATTTGATCCCAATCTGAATGTTAAAAGTTTATGTACTTCACAATTATCTTTTTGAAGGTCTGAACGAACCATTCCACCAAATCATCTGACTATGGATTATAAACACTCATGAAAGTGTGGTGTATCCCCAAGTGAGACGTCAAAATGTGAAATGCCTCAACCATAAATATGGGATTATAATTTGAAAGAATTTGCTTCGGAAAGAAATGCTAAAACAGTATGCGATTGAGGAGGAAGTATTCAACAACAATTATAAATGTATTAGCAAGAGCATCAACTTCCACCTAACAAGTCAAATTGTCAGAAATAATAATGACATATGCATTGTCAATAATTGATCATGGAAAAGGCTTAATTAAATCAAATGCCACTAACTCAAACAAATGGGAAATTGCAAGTAACTCTAATCGTCCTTTTGTAACACAAGGGGGAGTATTATAAACTTGGCACCAAACACAACTACTCATATACTGGATAATATCATATCACATCTTTGGCCAATAGAAAGACTTACACATTTTCTCAGTCACACAACAATATCCCATATACTTGTCTAAAATAGGAGAATCATGGTAACTGTGGAAAAAGTGTAAAATAAAGATTAAATGCACCACTAGCCATAAATGACTATCAGCATCCATCCCCACAAAATAAAGAAGACTGTACTTAAGGCAATATTAAGAATATAAATGCCAAAATGGCAAGTTATTATTAAGTGATATATGATTCTTAAACCTATTGCGAAGCTTTCACATCCATAGCTCAATCTTTTGAGCCTCACAAACCTTGTCAAAAGAAGGTAAATTTTGTTTTGCATCTTGTGGATACTGAACATCAAGTATAATAACTGCCGATGGCACGAAATCCTTATCCAAAAAATCCATAGACACTAAAATAGCAAGCTTGTAAAAAATATGAAAAAAGAGCAAAGAAGGAAGACTTGAGAAAGGGCATTAGTATCAATTATAAAACTTCTCGAGCGATGAACAACATCAAAATCATATATCTAAAACTTCAAAACCCACCAAGCAATATAACCAACAAAGTTTTTTAGCTTCAATTAATGAAGTAATTACAACATGATCACCTTTAGTAATGTTTGAGAACCTAAATATGCATAAAGTATTTTAAAACCCCGAATTGCTATTAAACACTCGTTCTTTGTCATGGAGTAGTTCACCTCCACTGGTTGTAATTTACAGCTAATATATGTAATGAGATGGCATTGACTAGGCACACTCAAACTCTCTTGCATCAACACACCTTCAAAATTAATATTAGAAACATTCATAAACAAAATGAAAGGTCAAGTGTAATTAAGATATACTAAAACCGGAGGAGTCATCAATAGCTCTTTGAGATATATAAATGCCCATTCATAATCCACAGACTAAATGAAAGTGGCATTGATGAATTTAGCTATGCTTGTAATGGTGCAATGCAATAAAAAATATGATTAACAAAACGATCAAGATATTGCACTTTGCCAAGAAACACTATACATCATTCACACACTTCAAAATAGAGAACTTTAAAATAACCACAAATTTGTTAAAATCAACTTGCAAACCTTTACAAGAAATATGATACCCAAAATAAGTTGTGTTTTTGGACCTAAATATACATTTCAACTGCTTTAGCTTTAAACCAACTTCCTATAACCGACCTAACACCTTATGAACATCATGGACGTT